ATTCACTGAGACTGAATGCAGGACTAGAGTCACTGAGACTGAGTGCAGGACTGGAGTCACTGAGACTGAGTGCTGGACTGGATTCACTGAGACTGGATTCACTGAGACTGAATTCAGGACTGGAGTGACTTTTTTCAAAATGCCAAAGATGACAGATAACTACACGACAGCAGCAGACACAAAAATCCTGTTCATTTTTCATGTGTGTTTTTTTCCAAGAGAGGGCAGCCTTGTTCTGAAGTCGGCTCTATCAGCATTTCACATTGACAATGCAATTCACCTATAAGGGAACGCACCATGCTGCTGTCAGAAATGCCAAACTACGGTTCTCCAGCCCTGAATGTAATTTACTAATAAGAAAGTGAAAATGAAGGCTAGATGATGCATCTTTTTGACAATACTATTTCACCCCCAGCGTTACTGATTACACCCCTCAAGAGCCCCTGAGCGCGGACTCACTCTGCACTGTCTCTTGGATACTCTGCCCTCAGCAGTCCCCTGTGTCTGGAGTCTCCACTGGAGAGGGGCTCCAGGTGTGCTGTCTGGAACTCCGGGCGTGGCGCAGCGCTGGCAGTGTGGGGGCACATGTCCTCATTCAGCTGACAGTATCCTGCAGGGCAGACAAGTGGTCACTAAAAAAAGCAACAGCAGGAAGAGGAAAGTTCTTTTAGGGATCTCAGAGCATTTGGGGTTTAGCGGTCCCATAAGGCCGTACACAATGGTGAACAGGGGTTTGAAAAAAAAACCCACGATGTGGACATCCTGCGTATATCCTTATCCTGCTCTGACCTGTGGTGTATGGATCTGTTATAGATGTGAGGGCCGGAGCTGGTCTTCATTTCCTTTTGTGTCACCCCTTTGAGATTCGGAGTGTGCCCGAACAGTACAGTCTTTCTTCATCCACATCGCCCTTCCAGGAGGACAGGCTGTGCAATCTTGGAATCATCCAGTCCGCCGTGCAGTTGCTTCTCAGTCTGGCCACAGCACTGATGGCAGCTGATGTCGAGCATGGGGTCGAGCGTGGCCTACATTAACTCACAGTGCCAATTAAAAGTGCCTGGCATGAATGAACAAGCCGGGATTCTAATCAGGTGTTTACAGAAACTGTGCTCTCTGGTGGTGCCTGCCCAGTTTCCACCGTCCCCAGGTCTCTCTCTTTCTCCCTTTCTTCAACTTTCAAAAAAAGTGCAATAGATATACCTGTGTGTCAGCACAACTTCCGCAAATGAGAGTGGCTGGCAGACTTGAATTACTGAAAGGCAGATACATTTTCATTCTTACGCTGGGGGCTGTTTTATCCTCTCATCTTCAGGTGTAGCAGAGTGTCCTAGAAAACTGTTACTCTATTAAAGAGGCAATGAAACATAATATCACTGAAAAGCTCCAGAGTGGTTTTGTAAAGAAGATGGAGGTGACTCTTATGCACTGTTGTGATTTTCCTCAGCCTTAGAACCAGCAGTTTTGAATGAGATGGGCTTTCTGCTGGCAACTGGTACCTCTGCAAGCCAACAGCCTAAACAGCAGGACTAAGGCACCAGACCGAATCTCAGTGCATGCCTTGGGATCTCTCAATCACCGATACAATCCAGATTCAAACCTGCAACCTCCAGAGGTGCCAAACAGAGCACGCCAAATTAGCAGAGATCTGCAATGGCTGAGCGACTTGGGAGCCTACGTCTCTCCCAAACCTCAAAGAATGTGGGATTAGAACTGGACATTTTACATACTACTTACCAGCTTCAGAGGCAGTGTTATATAGCTGCAGCTCAACCCCTTTGCTCAGGTCACCAGCGGTTCTGGCTGGTGTGTACAGGGTTGCAGGTCTGGTGCAGCCATTGTTGCAGAGGTTTGTGGACAGGCTTGGTGGGTTTTGTCCGCTTTCGGTGGGCATCTGCTCAGAGTCACAGCTCAGTGCAGAGTAGAGGTGTCTGCCTTGGGACTCAGCGGTCTGGGAAAAGTCTGAATTGTGGTCTTCAGGTAAATGGATCAAGCGATACTGGACAGAGGGCAAGACCTTCACAATTCGCTGACCACTGGGGTGATTCTTTGAGCCGTTTTTCAAAGCTGATTTCTTGGGCTGTCCAAGAGTGCCAAGATCATGGTTATGTTGGGTGTTGTATCCTGATGTTTCCTCTATGGCAGGAGAAGGAAAAGGGCTTATCTTGGAATCTGGAGGGTAGTCTGGCTCTGCAGTGTAAGGGTTAGGAGGCAAAGTTGAGTTCTTCAAGCCAGGAGATCCATTCTCAGCTCCGCTGGGTCGAGGCCTTGAATTTTCTTGAACTAAAGGTCGTTGTTGGCCTTTCGCATGAGCAACTGTCCTATCACTGTAGCTCAGGCCTCCCTTTGCATCAGTAGCTGGCTCATTACCTATGTAAGCAGTTTTGGTCCCTTTCTTGGCTTTGGTGAAAGTTGGGCAGGGTTCCCCTGTCCTGATAGTTTGCATTGCCTCTGAACGCTCCTTCAGTACACTTCCCTTCACATCCTGTATTTGCACAGCCTGTCCATGTGGCCCACATGTTCCATTACCTGTTCTGAAATCTCTGTCTTCAACGGGGGAGACTTCCCCTATGTAGGTTTCTTTGATGCATTCAGTTCGCACTCGGTGGTTTGATGGGGACACCCAGCATGGGATCATCTTCACTGCAAGTTCCTGTTGAGCCCGGCAGGGCGCCTGCTGGGGGGTGCGAGAATCGGAAAGGGAGCTGTCAGCATGCTTACTTGGTAATAAGCTTTGATCGAGCTCCTGGAGGACAGACCCGCAGGAGTCGCACTTCCTGCCGGCAGACTGGCCTTTGTCAGAGCCGCTCTCGCTGTTACTATGACTCCCGTCATGGGTCCTCCTGGTCTTCCTGCTCCACAAGGGGGCGCCCTCGGGGCTCCTGCCTCGCTCTGCTCTGCCTGAGCTGCCCTCGCTCTTGGAGGGCCCCCCGTTGACGTAGGAGGAGAGGTGAGGCTTGGAGACCAGGAGCCCCTGCCCGCGCTCGGCTGCTCTCCGTCTCTGCTGGAGGCGCTCCAGGTAGCGCACCTCAGCGTCTTGGGCAGATTCGTCCTCGAAGCGCACCCTGGTGGGGGACTGGCCATGCCGCCGCCGCAGACCGCCGCTCGATTCCCCGCTGGAAGAGTCGCTCAGATTCCCGCATGAAGCCGTCGCTCCATCTCTTCCAGCTAGGCCCCGGCGCAGCAGGCCAGCCCCTGACGACTCCCTGCCAAAGAGAGAGAGAGTTTGGGTCATCGATCACTTACGCGCCCCCTTTTACTGACGGTTTTAAATCTGGAACCACCAGTTCTTCTTTTTGCATGACCCTGCTTTGGAACTGCCGATCTCATCAGTCTACTTGGCTCAACGCTCCAGTGCCAGAGGGGTGAGGATCATGAACAATTTCCTCCAAAATGTATAATGTCACAGCCACTCCCATTCCTAGAGCACAGTCAGCACTGGCTGGAGTGTGGCTCTCACTTACAACTGTCTCGTTCGTAAACCCCTCCTCTTAAGGACGCTCCAGCCCTTCCTTGTTTTCCACTCATCTCCCGCACCTGCTCCCTGTTCCAACCCCCTTTTCAGTTCTCCTTAAAAGCCAGGCGCTCACTCTATTCCGGGCTCTGCACTAGTTTCTGTACCAGGCGAGTCTGGGACCTGGATGTGCCTGGTCCCGTCACGGTTTTAATTTCTGTTCCCGTTCCCGTGCCGGTTCCGACCCGGTTCCCGTTTTTTAATCTTGTTTGGTTTGGATGGACAGCCCGGTTTTGGACTTTTGCCTCTGCTTGGATTCCCCCTTGGACTTTCTTCTGGATTGTTTGCCTCTGCCACACCTCCCCCAAACACCAGCACACCATGGACATGCCCCCTGTTTTCATTCTTGAACCCTGCATGCTTTTTCCCCCGTGTTTTCCCCACTCATCCCTGGATTGTGTCACCTGCATAGGGTCCTGAAAGAACGTTTTCGTGACACAACACTGCAATCTCCCAGACTTCAGCCAAGCCACAGGGTCCACTGACTGACACTAGCCCATCCATCATCAGCAGTGCTTGGTCAGCTGTACCCTTATGATAGGGGAACCATCTTCACAGAGGGCCAGAAAGAGAGCCCAGACTCCACCAAGGGATGTCCAGATTACAGGACTCAACATGGACTCTGCAAGAACACAATTACCGGCTGGGCCACTCAGAAACCTGAAAAAGTTTTTTTAAACTTAGATTTAGAAGGACTCTGCAGTTATGTTTATTGCCTTTCATGAGCGGAACATTGTTTTTTCGAGGTTTTGGTATTCTGGGAATGTGTTTGGCAGCATTTGTTTCTGATTTCTCACTCAGAAGGATCCAATGAGCTGCTGATTGGATCCACCTGATGTAACAATCCTTTAAAAGGAGAGAAACTGAAATTGCACTGATAGGGGTTAATAGTTCTTCAAACTGGCCTGACAGTAGGAGGCCAGAAAATGAATGTGTTTGAATGTGTTCTTTCTGTTTTGGAGGAATGTTTTGTAACATTCTTTTTTTGGATTATCATCACTTGTACGAAGACAGTAATTTCTAACTTACTCAGAAACACTGGGTTGCTGCTATAATTGTTGTCTGCAGATCAGTAGGTGGTGCTCTTCTCTCTGCACTTGAATGTCTCATCTAATATCCCAGAAAGGACACTGGGAACACTGTTAAAGGCCTCATTCAAACATGGTTAAACCAGAATTACATATAACATAATTTAGTCGGTGTATGCCAGCTGGCATTTGCACAAACATATCTTGTCATTTAATTTAAATTTGAGGTAGAAGTGACTTCCTCATTAGCGGTAGTTAGCTCTACATGCGAACATATTAGGCAGAACAACAGAGCACAATACTGACTGCATTTTGCATTTTTTTTAAATGTGCCTTATTATCAAATAAAATGGTTACTGAGAAGAGAAACACGTAGGGGTGCTTTTCCGGTTTTAACAGACACACCCAATTTGGGGTTGGTGCACTTTTCAATAACCCTGTTTGGCTGTAATAACGTGTGTGTGGGGTTGTGTGTTGAGGGTTAAACTCCACAGCTGACCGGGGAACTGTGCCCGTGTCACGATCCAAAAGCTAAGGCCTCTGGGAGCAACAGGGTTCAGTCCCATAGCTCTCATTAGGTGAGCTCGTAATGCAGTGCCAGCAAACCTCTGAACATCTGTCTCTCCCAAGAGGGCTGTACACTCATACCTCCCAGGCTTTAAACATAATTTTGACAGTTCTAGTTCAATGCCAGGTACCCTGAACAGATATACACAGTATTGATGCCAGAGCTGGCTGTCAAGTGCGCTGGTTTTGCCTGAGCGGGCTGGCGGTTCGCCTTCCCACTCCTGTGACTGAGTTCCCAGCAGAGCGGCAGGCTGTGCAGGAAACAGCCCAGCGAACAGCTGACTGGCATGGCGGCGCCCACTGCTCTGTCTGGGGGCTTTGATCTGCGGGGGTGACAGCTGGCGAGGATGACAGCTCCCGACGAGAAATGGAGAAAGGGGGGAGCGAAGCGTGGAAGCAAATTAAACATCGAGTTTCAGATGAAACAAGGGCGTCCAGGCCTTCAAGGTTCTGGTTGAGAATGTGAGGTGAGCGGGGTGGAATAGACTGCATGATGGGAAGGGGACAGGGCAGTACCCCTGTGGGTAATGTGAGCGATGTTGTCTAATGAGGCTCAGAAGGCGGACTGGCCATATCTTTCCACAGGAGAAGGGCTAGAGGCACACCCCAAAAATGAACTGCCAGTAATTTATCTTGAGGGCGCAAAGGAATGTCAGGAGCTGTAAATCCCCATAGGACGGGTGTCCCTGTGGTTCCTGTGCTTTCCCACCTCCCTTCGGATTCCTGTACCCTTGAACACCGATCCTGGTTCTCAAGGTGGGAAGTTTAATTAGACATAGAATCAAACATTAGCATGGTTGTGAGATCCACACTTTAAGCTGTTTTGTTCAAAGCAGAAAAGGACTGGGCTGCTGTTTCTACTATGTGGGGCTGTGTTAAGTCGATTAACCTGATTTTATGAGCAAACACAATTTGTATATATAGTAATAATGCAAAACAATATACACACCATTTTACAAATAGGGAGGGTTTTAAGACTTCCCCCTCAAAACAAAAAAGCAATTGAACAGTGTGACAGATCTGTAGTAATTCAATATACTGTTGCTGATTTTCATTTTATTCTCCTCACTCATGTCCTTGCCAGTTTAGAACCTTACTTGAGAAAATTACAAAAAGAATTTGCAGTTTGTGTGACTCTTGGCAGTGTGACTCCTAGTTGATAAAAGTCTTTTTAAAGTGCCACAAAATCTGGAATTAACTGCTGTTATTTTTCGGTTGAAATGGTGCTTTTTTTTACCAGTATCTATTCCTTACAACGATATTTCACACATGCTATCGACATGATAAATGCTTGCTGTTGGAAGCTGAAACATTTCAAAATAAGGTTGTTTCCCGTTTGGAGCATTTTGGCTCCTCTTTTTTCAGGAAAAGGCGGGTATGGATCTTTGGGCAAGCTTTAAAAAGCCCTGGTTTTTAAATTAATTCTGTAGATTTTTGTTTGAAATTCCATTTTACACTGTTGTGTTGAAAAAGGCCTGTGGTATATCATGGTTTGGTTAAAAAGAAAACCTTTGAGAGACCGTCTTTACATAACACAGAGACTGAAGCTCTGAGAAGTGGTATTTATAGCCCTGGGGAGCCTATGTCAATGTCCTGAATCTGCAAGAGCACTAATCTCACAGAGGTGCTCCACAACGCTGTGGAACAATCATCCCTCTCAGCTATTGCATAATTTCAGCTTGCGTAACTACTGTTCAGAAACAGACAGGGACCACTGAGCCTGGCAAATGTTCATCACAGCCTGCAATTTGTGCCTGCTTTTCCAAAGCACTTTATGTGCATTGTTGCTACTTGTGTTGTCTAGCTTGTTTGTCTAATTATTATATCATTTTAATTACTCCCAACAAAACAAAAGCAGGATCTAAAATACTACTGGATCCACATTATTGCTAAAGTTCTGCAGTTTGATTTACAACCAATGAAATTGTTTCACCTTTATTTTTAGTATTTAAGCAAAAAGTTATTTTAAATTGTCCAACCCAACTCTGAAATAGATACAGTAGCCTTTGTCTTATTGAGATTTTTTTTCTGCACAAAACTAGGGAGGAAGAAAAAGGATCTTCCTTACTTGTCTACAAATCTACATGAAAGTACCAGTAGCTGCCAGGCATACAGTACGTCAAAGAGCACTGAACTCTGGGTCACTTAAACTTAAATACCCAAAGTCAAAGAATCTGAAAGAACAGATGAAGTATTCAGCTTAATATTGAGCACGAGTTGATTAAAACTACGAGAATCATCCTTGCAACACTTTCCAGCTGGGCAGGAAGAATAACAACTAAAAAATCGCCTCTCGAGGTAAGATGAGCTATGCACACAGCAGAATGCTACCACTTTCATCATAATGAACTTTGCAAACCATTTGGAGTATGCTGCAGAACACCAAAATAACCCAGATCCTAAAAATGTGTTTAATGTGAAATTATACGAAATTCTGGCAGAATTATTATTGTACATGTTTGAGGTACAGTAGTTCTGTACTTAATATGGAAGATGAGATGCAACAAGGAAACATTATTCCTTCCAAGGAAAAACTACACGCAGCTGCTTCATCTGTTTTAGTTGCTAAGGGATGTCCAAAAAAGCACAGGTCTTATTCACAGGTATTAGATATACGTAACTGGTTAATACATACATGGGATCCAAATCTCTAGATTGTAGTAGATGAGGGTTGTTTTTAAGCAAGTTGGGGTTCTGATTGCAGATTTATCCCTGAGATTTCCTTATGGATGTTTTCTGTCTCCCTTTGTGAGCATCAAAACAGGCTGCTACTGTACCACTGCAGCACAATAACAAAACAATTTGCTTCCTGAAGGGCACAGCAGTAGGCCACAACACCGCAAACAAAAAGCATTTAAAAAGAAAGGAAAATCCCACTCTTTTCTAATTGAAGAGGATATGATCTCCAGCTGTTGGGACTGAAGAACATCGTCTTAAGAAAACACCTTAAAAATAACACACAAGCTGTTCTAATGTGCAAGCGCTCTCAAAGCTAACGAGAGAAGCGAACGCTAAATGTATTTCACAGCAGGGCAGGGCTGAGGGCAGGGAGGCCGCCAGGGCCTCCACTGTGCCTAGAGTGGTGCAGGAGAGATGAGCTGGGGGAGCTAGCCTTCCCAGCTGAGCCCTGGCAGTAAACAGCAGACAGAGAGACAGAGAGACTCGCTGCGGCTCGAGAGCGGGTGACTTACGGCGCCTCCTTCTGAATGGGCAGGATGCTGTGGTCGGCCTTGAGAGGGTGCGAGCGGGCCTTCATTCGGGCTCTCTCCAGTAGCCGCTTGGCCTGCTCATGCCGGGGGCTGAGGGGCAGCTCCTCACAGGAAACAAAGGCCCTGCCGCGGAGAGACAGCCAGGCGCGTGAGGGAGCGAGGGGATTAGGGCAGGCCGGCAGTGATTAGAGATTAGGCCGACGCGGGGCCTGACAGCATGTGGCGTCGGAGAACAGGCACGAAAAGGAGACAATGGAAGAGTGTTTCCGGTCACCTCTGAGGTATGTTTGGCTTAAAGCGTTTTTTCACTCCAGTGCAGGACAAATGGTTTCACTTTTTCCGAAGTCCAAATAAAATCTAACCAAGAGACGTGAACTCACACTGTTTTTTAAATTACTTTTCAAAGTTGGGAACATGGTCTTCTTATAGGCCAAAACATTAAGAAAACTGCTGTTACCTATCTTGTATCTGAGGGGATGTTCATTCTTGTGGCCTAAAGGGGGTCAACACTCTAATTTAGTACTCAGTGTAATCAACCCGGCTTTGTCAGTAAGTCTGTTTCCCTGAAACCCCCCCATTTAAAAAATAACTGCTACCACAACGCACCCTTGGCAAGCAGCAACTACTAAATAAACACTATAAAGGAAAAAGGTAAACCACAGCAGAGAAGTGGAGGTAAATGTGAGGCAGGGCACTCTTACAGCTGGAAGGCTGAAATGAAAATGAGTGTGGAGATAAAAATGAAAATTAAAAGGTTATTTAGAGTGGTAATTCTAATGCAAATGATAAACTTTAATGGATTACATGTAGGACTTGTAGGACAAAACTGAGAGCAAATTGAATATGTTTATTAGTAGAAGTGAAACTGGATTGAATTTTGGAATTTGGATCTGGAACTAAATCTGAATTTATTTGGGGTGAGGAATTAAATTGTAGTTAATGTAGTGGAGAAGGGATGGTGACACAGTGGTTAGCATTACTGCCTTATAGCACTTGTGCCCTGGGTTCAATTGTGGACCCTGGGGTACTGTCTGCGTGGAGTTTGTATATTCTCTCTGTGTTCACACGGGTTTCCTCCAGGTGCCCTGGTTTCTTTCCACAGACCAAAACCACGTTGGTAGGTTAATTGGCTTCTGAGAAATTGTTTGCGTGTCTGTGTCTGCCCTGTGACGGATTGGCATCCCAATCAGGGTGTATCCTGTCTTGTGTCTGTTGCTCCTAAGTAACCCTAAATAAATAAATGGATGTCTAATGTAGTGGAATTTATCACACTTTATATTCATTTAATCTATTAAAATGAAAGTAAAATGAAATTTTGGATACTAACCCTGCACTTCTGCCAGATAACACAAGGACTTTGCTTGTGCATGATATCAGCAGAGCCAGCTGGAGGAACATACAGTATGTACAAGCTCAGGGGCTTCAAATATGGAAATGTGCTGCAGAAACAATACTTAGCTGTAGGAAATAGTCTAGTCCAAATGTTTATTTCCATTTGAACATGGGACTAAACGGCAGGTTTCTGCCCGTTTTGGATTACACTTCTGTGTCATCAAAAAAAATCAACTACCCAGAGTGTGTGTCCGTTTCCCCCTTATCTAAAGCTCCTTATGTAACATGCATGTTAACAATGTGCTGGAAAGTTAAGCTCCTGCTGCCGGGCAGCTGTGTGGCTCTGCCAGTTCTTCCTGTTGGCACGGCTCTCTGTGACACTGCTGCAAGAGCTGTGGCATCGCCCACTGACTCGCAAGGGGAACAGGCTGCCAGCTTGTATTTGGGATTAGTGCTCGGGAATGAAGAAGAATATGCGGAGATCAGGGATGGAAAACAAGCACTTCAGATTTTTCTCTGGGCAGGGGTATAGGGGGCAGCTCTCTCTGTAAAGGGGTAGGACGTACAGTAGGCACCTCAGCTGCATCAGGAGCTCAGGATGGACTGAGCCACCTGCAGCTTTGCACATGGTATTGAGTGACACAATTACCACATGATTCTGTTTCACTTCACTAGGACTCAAAAAGGAGTTAACTGTGTTTCACCTCTTTGTGTATTAGACTAAGGAATGATGGACTAAATAATTTTGAGACTGAATCAAAAAACATAATTATAAGCCAGAAGGCAAAGAATTACTTTCCTCTCATACAAAGTGAATAAAACCCTTCAATGCCTTCCAAATACAAGCTGACTAATATGTACAAATTCTCTCAGCTGTTTTTTGGCTATTTTCAAGTGTTTATGAATGTTAATGCCTCCGTGGAGGTAATTTCTATCCCTTCCCTGAAAACATGATCTGGACAATTGAATGATGGAATAATTTCCTGTAATGGTAGTATCAGCTGATAGAAACACACTGTCTTCCCTTTATCTAATAACAGTGCAGCTCAGAGAACTGCTCTTATACGCACTGTAGTTGAGGAAGAGTTCGGAGACTAGGACGGGACAGGGTTACCTGTGACTGTGCTCACTGTCCTGAAGAGAGATCCCAGAATCCCAGTCGCTGTCATTCAGAGTAGACAGGCCTACAAGATAAATCCTGGGTTTAGACGCTGTTGTCCATCACACACTGGGCTTCCCCTTCCACCCTGTCTCTGAGGCATATGTATTTATAGCTTGCATACCCCACAGAACACAGAATACAATAAGAACCCATAATATATAAAGGTACATATGTGGATGCAAGAGTACTATGTCCTTCTCGATAACTATTTCATATAGGATTGTCAGGGGAAGGGACTGAGTTTCAGAATACAGTAGGGTCTCGACATTAGCAAGGGATCAGTGCAGTAAACCATTACAAATAGCCAAATTTGCCTGTAGCCAAGTCCACCCCTACACCGTTGCATACTGTACTACAGTATATAGTATGTAAGATTAAAAGGCATAAGTAACCCTCCCTTATATGATAATTAAATTGTTAATGCATTGGTTTTAGTTTTATGAAAATAACAATGAACAACTAAAACAAACAACAGAAAATTCATAACTCATAGCAATCAGCTAAAATAACCAACATGAATCCCTCCCCCACATCCAGCGGATGCCTGCCCTTTCTCTCTCTTTCTCGACAATCATCACACCCCACTGTAATAAAATGAGCAATTAAAAGTGTTAGTGAGTGTATAAAGTCATCTCCAGCCTGTCATTCCCCACATTGGCAACACAGAACATGGAGTGTTTGTTACATTATGAAAACAAGACCATGTTGAGATGCAGATGCTGGGTAGTGGGCACTAGGGCAGGAGTCAGTGAGGGGCTCGCTCACTAGCTACTATTCGTCTCACAAGCCTAGGCTGTTGCGCTGCTAATGTACAACATGCGCTTAGCAACTTTTGACTTACTTTCATCTCGTTCTGCTCTTCATCTATCTAAGACCCCATCGGCCTGACCAAATCACAGATAAGTGAATTTGCACATGTTAAATTTGCAGATGTAGTGACCCTACTGTGTAGACTAATACGTAGTAAGCAAGTTGTGCCAGGGGGATAATTTAGGGGATGTCTGGGAACATCTTAAGATCTTCTCAGAAGGCACTAAGCTCCTCCACCCACCAGCTCTTTTGAGCTCCAGCTTGTCGGATTAGTGTGAATTACCTCTGCCATTGCACTCTGGTAGCTCCTTGCCCCTCAGCTCCAGCGGGCTCTGAGACCTGCTCTCAGGCCTGTTCAGCATCTGCTTCAGAATGCCTCTGTTCATCTCTACACGCTCTGCCAGCGACAGTGAGCTGCTGTTGCTGCAGACGCTCTCCCAGCTGTCGGCCCTCCAGAGCCCCCCCAGCGGGAGCTCCTTCCTCCCAGCCCTCCACAGGTGGCTCTCCAAGCTGTCGGACCTCTGCAGATCCCTCCGGAGTGGCTGAGCACCTGGGGTGGCCTTCCTCTGGATAGGGGCCTCCCACAGCTGGTGCTGAGTGTCGGCCCGGAGAGCCTGCTCACTACCCGCCTGCAGATTATCTCTGAGGAGGAGTGTCTCTGGCCGGGCAGCCTTCCAGAAGCCCTTGGGAGGCGTCCAGGACTTGGTGTTGGGTTCCTCTTGGACGCCCACCCCATTGGAGAGGTTCTCCAGACTGGCCCCCTCACCAAGGCCTCTGGACAAAGCCAGGCTGGACAGGGGTCCCATCTTGTATGGGTCCTCATACAGGTCCTCCTGGTCACTCTGCAGGATATTGTCAGTCAGGTAGGTATGGACCTGAAACTGGGGGTCCACCTCCTCGTCGCTGCCAATTGGCTTGCTGGCGACCTGCTGTCCAGTGGGGGCCTTGCTGGGGCCTTTTCTCTGCTGCCCCTGCTCGTGTGCTGATGGTCCCTTGTCTTCTTTCCCTGCAGCTCTCCTCTCGGAGAGAGCCTTCACTTTGGACTGCAGCGCGGACACGGCAGAGCCTGGGGCCTGTGGGAGAAGAGGGGAGTCCAGGCCGGACTCTGGGCGGGGAACGCTGTCCTGCTGGGGCAGAGCCGCCTCTTGTTCTTTCCACTGGCCTGATCTGTGTGGCACGCTGGGATGCTGGAGGACCTCGGCGCTGGAGACCTCTTCCATGGCACTCTGCTAATCAAGGACCACTCCTACGACAGAGGGGACGCTGTAATAAAGGACATTAAATATGGACATTTCAGCATGTTCACACATTAACATCTTTATGAAACACGCTGATATAGCTGTACGGGAAAGTAGCTGGGCCCTGTGATACGCTGTTAAAAATGTATTCTTATAGAAATATACTTACCTTCATTCACAAATGTAATACAATAAGTAAAATCTTAATAATATCTGTGTTATAATCTCCACATTACTCACATGCACTCAGACACACTTTTGAAGCTTCTTATCCACTCATTATTTTACATCAAATTTCTGCCACTCTCTGTTTCAAAATATGTATTTGATTAGCTTCCTTATGTTGTGTCTATTGAAAATTGAGATTGAAGTGGAATGATTTTTGACATTCATTATTTTGTTTATTAACAGCACTGTTATAGGTTTGTTCAAGAAAGCCAGTAGTTCTATCATGTGCATGGTGTCTAGTCAATAAAGTGTAAAAACTAGAGATTATGTTATTCTTGACTAAAAAGTTTTTTTTTCATTTTTCTTTTCATTTTCATTGATATTTCAGAGGCCTGTAGCAGAAGCCAGTTTGACCAATGTAAGGACACAGGAGCTAACCCCCTTACTCTTACATAAGCAAGTAGACAAGTTATCAGTTGAACATCTCATCTGAAGAACAGCACCTCCTGCCACACTGTGGTCCTGGTTACTATGGAAATTCCCTTTGGCAATTCTGGCCCAGAGAGAGGAGCACCACTTGATCCACCAGCACCACTTACAGCAGCAACCTTATTTTCACTGGAGTTCTCCCATCCCAGTACTGACTAGTCCTTGCTTAGCTTCTCAGCAAGCACTTCATTTGCTTTTCTAGAAAATAAATCAACATCAGGAGTCTGTTTCTCTGCACTGACATACCTACATGAAAGTCTTGTCAGTTCAGTCTTTCCTAAAGAGACATTTGAATGTACTGCCCAATTTGTAAAATACACTGCACAGCTTGTGCATTCGTTTGTTTTGCTTTGTAATATTATAAGCAATCTCCATATGTTATTGGCCTGCCATTCAACTACACAAAAGATATGTCTGGAAATTATAAGAATTTTGATATGGTGAAGAGCAGTTCTTGGAAAAAATACCAGCACCGTTACTCTTCAATTTGAATTCTCGCCTTAAAATCCCGTCTTTCTTTGTGGGCAGGGATAATTTTGGCTTTCATTTTTACTGTACGTCTCTAAATAGCAAGTCGCCACAATACGCTACACATGACTAATTACTGCCTCTGTGATCAGAGCAGAGCGGAGGTCAAATTAAAGGGCTGCTGATGCCAGCAACAGGAATTACATTCTTGTAACCTCACAGGACCAGGAGCCTGCAAGGGCAATTCACATCCTGCCTAATACAGCACCCATAAGAAAAGCTTTGGCAATCTCCAAAACACGCAAAGCGCACAGATAGAAAAGTATTAGAAGAATTAATACAAAAGAATTCAAACATTTTGCAGATGACGAAGGGCCATCTGTCGTCTCTGTGCTGGTTTCCAGCGGCAGAATCCAAAAAGTTAATTACAGAGACGTTACTTCTGTTGTGTGTTTTCCAGGAGTTGAGATTCATTATTTTTTTTCCCCATTTCAGCTTGTAATCTGAATAAAAAGAGAATTTAAATTGGTGCATGGAACGTTTTCATAAATATATAAGTATGGCATTTACAAGCTCAATATAAACAGATGTAAATTTCCAGATGTAAATCAGGGCTTTCAATGCAGTGACTGTGATGTTGGTTTTAATCAGTTGTTTGATCATTTAGGTAATGAGTGTTTCCACAGATCTTACTCCGTTTTTGCCAAAGCCCCTAAAAACATCTCTAAATCTGTGCACAGTTCATCATTGATTCCTTTTTAAGTAAAGAATTATTTCTGTCTGTAAACAGGGAGAGGATAATGTGCAAATTGTGTCAGGGGATGATCTATCAATCACTTCAGTAACCTAGAGACCAGCAATCAGCACTGACAAGACACAGGTCTGGAAGCTGGTTGCCACGGCTACACCACCTGCATTTCTCACTCCGTTGGCAACAACATATAGCCATGACGACACAAAACCATGATGTCAACTTCCATAGACATGTAGCCTGGACTGTATCTTCTCAGAAAATACGGTCTTCTGAGATTGTAACACTCACTTTATAATATTGTTTTTAAAAACCAACATACTCAAATGTGCACAAACTCCCTGATGTTCATTTAATGTTGTAGATATGCTCTATTACACTTTAAACACGAGATAACAGATTACCTTAAAATATTGAATATGTTTCTTTCATTTTATGGCAGATACTAGTGTCAATTTTTTTAAAACAAAATAAAATATTGTTAAACAAATACCATCTTGAGAACATAATTTAGGTTACAAATGACAGGAGACTATTTGACTCGTCTGCCCTGTTAGGAACTAGTTAATCTAAAGATCGCATCCACCCATTTCTTGAAATACACCAGGGTATCAATTTAAACAAGATGGCTAGGCTGGTTGTTCCATACTCCCACAACTCTTTGGTTAAGGAATTATCCCACGTTCTCAGCTCTCATGCCCTATCTTTTTCATTTTCAGATGAAGACTTTAAAAGGCCCTTTTTTAAATCAGTACATTCCTATCATAGGTTTAGAGTGACTTAACATTGGGCAGTTTGCTTATTGGGGTTATTTCTTCATATTTTGTCTGAAACAGAAGCATTTGGACTCCTTGTTGAACAAGAACAACAGGTTTTCATACACACAAGACAGTACATTCAGGCTTTGCTAATTCAATAAGCCATTAAGAAAGTATTATAATCTGAATTAATGTACTTCAATCTGTCTCTTTTTTGATGTGTCACTTAATTGTAAAATAAAACAGTTTTCTCAATGCTGGCACACTGAGCATGTTGTTGTTCCTCCTAAACCTCTTCACCTCTTTTCCTCTTAAAAGCTCTAACCTTCATCATTGATGTTTCAGATGCCGATGTGTCATGGCAGTTTTGCAGATAAAACTCCCATTGCAGAGCAGTTTGACTCATTTCAGGTTTTCTGGGTTCCAGGTTTGCATAAGCCTGCAAACCTGGGAGCTGGATATTTCAAGGTCACTACAATGTTTCTGAGTGGACCTGAAAAGGCAAAATAATATTCAGCACAAGGCTTTGCTTCCTCTATACACATTGTATGAGAACACGCCACTCATAAAAGCTGAAATAGATCAAACCGCTGTTCAAGGGTGGTCTTGTCTCTATCCCGTCTGCCTTGCTGTGCTTTTGCTCCCTGTTTAATCTTGACTTGTATATTGTATATAGAGTTGGAATATTAACTGAGAGATGCCGCTTGGCCTTAAGGCATGGAAAGACTTAGGAAATAACTAACGTCAACACTCAAAGCAAGTACTTTAAAAGCAGCCTGGTTATGCTGACTATTGCTAAGAGCCTGAATGTTTATGCTATGAGTTCTCCCGCCGGCCAGCAGTAATGAGGACCTGTCTGCACTGTGGTTTTGCTCTTCTGTAGTGCAGTGTTTCTCTATCAGCCACAAGCTCGAGAACATAAGCATGATTACGAACAATCTAGCCCACTGGGATCTCACCCAGCTGTCTAAAAGAAGCCAGGGAACATGGCTGGGCTGCTTGTTCCACACTCCCACAACCCTTAGTGTAAATGAAGTTCCGCGCTTCCTTTCATTTTTCTCTAGCTGTGTTGAGAAGGGTGCACAACTGCAAAACATTACTCCCTGAGTGATGCAAACCCTTATAAAGGTTTACTGCGGGAACCAATGGTAAAAGCAGGATCCAGTGTAATAACGTAAAGCGAAAGCAGAGTAAAAGTGTAGAGAGGGCAATCAAAACAAAAGTCAGCCGTTGGAAACCATGAAAAAACAGCAAGTAAAAAATACAGATGGAAGCAGAGTGAAAATAAATGTAGGTTTTCTGAACTCTGCCAATGACCTTTTAGTTAAACTATACTTAAGTTTGGGTCCTGAATATCTTTTTTATATCAACTATTATTATAGACTGTTTATTATCCATCAACTTTTATTCAAACTGATTTTAACAGCACCAGTTCCAGGTTAAGCCCACAAGCATTTCTGAGTTCTTTACAAACCTGGGCTCCTTCAGTCACCTCGAAATTAAACAGTTTTTAAATTAGGCTGAAATACCAACAAAGCAGGCAAAGGACATCCTCTTTCCACCAGAATAGAGTTAATTCCAATGGAAGGAAACAGCAATGAGTAATAACGAAAAACCTACGAGAACTACAAATAGAATAAATTTGAACTTACTTAGAAACAGGATCTGCACAGTGGAGAAAGATTTCTAAAGGAAAAACTGTTTAGGTTCTCGATGATCAAAGATGCTCTCCGTAAGTCATCCTTTACGTATGTGCACTGTCATTTCTCACTGCTCTGCTCCAGAAGGGTCTAATTGTTTGCTGTTTAATCAGAAAATTAATCCACCAAGATCTCAGTCACTGACACAGCGAGCTCCTTGGGGAAGAAAAGGAAACTGGATGCACACAAACATGAAGCATGTGCAGTAAATACTGGATGTGAAGGAGAGGACATGTTGTGCTGGCAGGGAGGGGCAACAGAGCAGTAGTGAAAGGTAATTCGAAGCACTCTCCATCATTCCACGTCTCAGAGGAATTAATAGAGATGCCCAAAAAGCTCTACTGTGAATGAACCTGAGAAAAGTCCAGTGCAGGAATATTGCCTTGGATCTTCAGCCCTGTTCATGGATAGCTTCTGGCCTTCAGAGTTTGGCTCTTGAAAGGTCATGTTAATCTTCAGCCAATAGCAGCTTTATTTCAGGGCTGGGATAATCTCTAGGGTGACTTTATAACTCTGCAGGACCAGGTCTGGAGACACCTGTTAATGACCTCTTTCTCCTCCTTGTACCACAAACAGCTCTAGCATTTAGAAGATCAAGAAGATTTCTCAGCATTTTAGATAATTACATCATTTCTTTGTAAACAGCCCTTTTCACATTAGTGGAAAACCCATTTTGTATGATCTCCCAGTGTTTGTGAGGGCAATGGTGGCCATGTTAACTGGCGTCTCTAAATGTCCTTATTTGTGTGCATTTCCTGCAATGAACTGCTGTTCTGTCTAGTCCCACATTGTGCCCTGTCTCTGTACAGTTATGCGCCTGCTTGCTGTGAGCTTCTCAGTAAGAAGTGGACGTGGGTAATGTATGGATGGAAAAGCGACAGCCCATCATACCGAACAATGAGCACAGAGTCGTGCCAGAGGCCGAGATCCAGGCGCGGGCACTGGAAGACTTTGCTGATCTACGCGGTAATAAACGCAGAGCAAGACTCGTTAAGAGCTTTATTGAAAAGAGCGTGCACCACCCATGGCACTTGAACATGTTTTAATTTTTGTGCCTGATCCACAGAGAGCTCCAGCCGCACAGACACTCCTTCCAACAAGAGGGGTGAGAAAACAGAGCCTTTTCCAAAGACGCTTGGAAAAAAAAACTCTGCGTGATTGAACCCTAGATAATTAGTAAAGCTGGGATCGGAGAATAAGAAAAAATCTGAATGTTTCTCTACTGCCTGCGGCTCTCTCTCTGTGGAGGGGGAGCGGACAGCTCTGGCACGCGGGCCTTCTGAAACACTGCAAGCAGGCTGGCACTCCGCTGCCCGGAAAGCCTTGCAGTCTGACAGCGAAAGATTCCTATGAAGAGCCCAAGGCTGCACTTGCATTTCTCAGTTCAGACCTAAGTGCTCTTCATAGTGCTGACTTTGCTCTGGTTCATCCGGACCTCGACGAGCCTTAGGCAATAAATTCACAAAATCATGCAGAAGGAGAAAACAAAAGCAGATGCTCCAGGACTCAAACACTCCTCATGTGCTGTGTCCCCACAGTTTGTGACACTTAAAAAAAAACAGTAAGAGCTTTAAAATATACAGTATACAGAAGTAGAATTCGACGCTACTTTTCTCAAACCAGGCTTAACATCTGGTACCACATCTGTTCAATACCTTTTACGTAACTGGGGCAGCAACAAGCAACTTTTGTGATCCGGTATGTTTCTGTAGGGCTGAATTTACTCACAACTTTGTACTGAGAAAGGAACACCCACTCTTACCTCTGTCTCCCATCTGCCAGAGATGAGTCTCCTCTCTCCTCTCCATCCACAAGTGACCTTAACAGAGATTCCAACACTTGTGCAGCTCCACTGCTCCTTCCACCACTTCCTGTTTCTTGAAACCCATCAGGACCAGCCAAAATAAGAAAAAGGAGCTGCAAAGAACTTTTTTTCTGCTTTGTGCCTTGAATTGGGCAGTCTCAGACAGCCTCCCTCTCCCTCTCCCTCTCCCTCTCCATTCTGCTGCAGCTGTGAGTAACCGCTGATGTGTCTGTGAGACCGCCTGTGCTCGGCTCTCCCGCATACCTGGGCTTCAGACCAACCCTCCCCCGATCTGCTCCCCTTCCTCCCCTTTGCTTCCAAAAACATCTCCCACAAGCCACTGACTGTAAAAGGTGCTACACATGTGTGAGCCCCCGTGGTTGCCTGGGCGACAGGCACAGCAAGCGGAAAGGGATAGGTCGCCCAAAAATGCCAAGACGAACTCAAAAACGAGTCCCATTGGGGGAGAGGCTGGTTGGACAGCCCCCCGAAAGGAGGGGCTTTGTAACTCTATGCTTGAATATATGGAAAAAAAGGAAAGGAATCTTGAAAACACGGCATAGAGGAAGTTCAGAAGTCTCCACAACATTTCCCAGCTGCCCAGGAATTTCCTTTGTTTATTTTTTTTTATTTTAATGCAGATAATTGAATTATATGTATTAGAATCCTGTTTTTTTTTCAAACACTATTTTAAAAAGATAATCAGAAAAAGGGCCTTTCAGAATTCAGAACTTACTTTTGTGTTGCTACAGCCCTTTACACGTCTTATTATTCCCAGAAGGACTGGAGGCCTGTCTTGAAGCAATTCCAACAGCCACAGGAAATACCCGAGGTAGAACTGGGACATTCCCAACGGAATGAAGCAAAGGAGAGCTAACTGAATAACTCCAGCCTGCAATTCAATACATTACAGATTAACCACCTTGTACCATGCACAGCACTTAACTTGTGCCTTTGTGCACCAGACTCGAACACAGCAAGCTCCATTTTCAAACCATAAAAACACCAGTCAGCCAATCCCTTACCCAGGTAACTTGTAACTGTGCTTCTGAAAGTAAATTTCTTCAACACGATACACTGCATTCTGCCTTCAGAAAGTATGCAACCCTCTTAATGTTTTCACAACTCCTTATGTTGCAAACTCAAATAGAAATGCGTTTATTTGGGATGGTTTGTCACTGACCTAACCACATCATATTTTAATTATAATGCAAAAGTGGAATGAAAGTTTTGGAATATTTTTACATGTAATTTAAAAGAAAACACTCTTGACTTGACAAATATTCACCCCCTTTGCGATGACACTTCAAACTGAGCCCAGCTACATCTAATTTCCTTGTAAGATCACTCTAAAACTCTAAAAAAGGGGTGAAAAAACATAAAATTCCCAGTTGCACAGTTTTATTTTCCTATCAAAATACACTCTATTTTACAATAAACATCTTACAGTAAGTACACGTTCTAAAAAATCATGCAAATTCTACTATGATACAAAAGTTCTGAAAAGGGGGTGATCGTCCTTCGACAATCGGAGCAAGGGGAAGCTGGGGCTGGATTTCTACAAGGAGAGAGTCCCTCCCAGTCCTACCGCTTGCTGTTGTCCCTGCCTTTTCCCTGTCCCGGCTCTGAAACTGCGGTCATCCAGCCCTCCGTAGGAGCCCCAAGGAACAGGGATTTCCTCTTTAGTCCCTGTTGAGGGCCCAGAGTCTCTTCCACAGTTAGGACCATCATTAGTAAATGGAACGAATACAGAGCCATCCAGCCTGTACTCATTTATACAGCTGGGTATTTCACTGGGGTAAATCAGGTGCAGTTACCTTGTAACAGCAGTGCTTCACCTGACATTTGTATCCAAGTCCAGAATCCTAACCGATGCTCCATACAGCTGCCCGTTAAAGAGATCAGCTATTGGATAGGCCCATCCACTCTCCTGATTGCGCAGAAACATAACATATTTGGAGTTTTTTTTCAGATGAGAGTATCTGATAAGAACCATCCAGCATACACAAGGAAATGTTATATCGGGAAGCGAAATCTGTTCCTTGTGCGCGCTGGCTTAAACTGCTGTCACCGTAATTGCTCTCAACATTTACTGGATGACAGGTTTCTCATCAGAAATGTTCTATGCAGGGCCCACAGATTTGCAGATTTATTAAATTTGTTATGTAAGGCAGCATTAGTCTGATACACCTGCTCTGAATACATGTGGTACTTAACAGCATTAAGCCCTCTGATCTTTCACCCTGTAAGCCATACACACGTATCAGTAATATAATTTCTGAAATCTGTCTGACGTGCTATAGCCATGCTTTTATTCATCTTCTTATTGGGACAGCTGTATTAGTGCTACATAATTCAGGTGTGGTGATGTTATAGATCACAGGTAATGCTGCATGACAGAACTCCGTGAGTCTGGCTTTACAAGAAAGAGGTGGATTATTTAATTGCAGAAGAGTTTATGAATTACTTCATTCTAAAAAAAACATACAGGATTTCAAAACTTTTCCAGAAACAGAAATAATCAGAAAATACGGCTAGGTTAAGCAATTTCTTTAATTTCAAAGTCTTGTGTTTCAGTTTTCAGTGTTTACCCCTTGATCAGTGCCTGCCAGGAATCACCAGGAACAGTTACTAATCATTCCATCCAGCTCTGCTGATGGGTTGGGACAAAATGACAGATGCAATTTGCAAATAATAAAAATAGCCAATCGCAAAAAAAAATATATTTTTTATGTCTAACCAGTTAAAGTAGTAGCACTACAAGACAGGCTTTGCGATTATTAAACTAAAGCAGATCGGGTTGTGAACACCCGTGAACTTCCAGGCAGGGATATTAGGAAAACCTTTGTCTTCTGAAGTCCTAAAATCAAGTTACCATTCATGCCATTCATGGGGAAACATCCAGGCCAATATGGGGTTGGGTTTTTTTTTACTCCATGTATTTTCCCTGTCTTTTCCTTAAATTGTACTAAAGGATTGTGTCTGAATGGCAACACGATGCTCTGTCAAAAAGAAAAGCACCCACTGTCAAAAAGTGCAGGTCTGAGCTGAGACAGACAACTGTTAGCTAAGAGCAGAACTCAGAGCTCTGACCATCAGAAATCTGCAGCTCCAAGCGGCGCTCCAGTCATGTTTTTTTTGTTGTTTTTCATCGTGTAGGCAATAGTCGACAAAGTCAATATAAAAATGTTGGCAGTAGTCTATAAAGTCAACAGGGGCCAGGGTCTGTACCACGAAATCTCCACAGCTCCAATGAGCCCTTTGCCCCATATAATCCTTAAAGCAAGATAATTATGACACAATGCACTGGTTTCAAAGAGATTGTGCAGCAACAGGCCAGCTGCTTAACTACTGTACTTACCTAATACCCCATTCTATGACAGCAGGGGGACCGAACCTGCCATAACATTATGCAATGACTCCCTTAATCCAGGAATCAGTAATTCACCTGTGCAGTGTAATCTGAGAACACAAGAGACTGAGGTCTGCAATCTTATTGCAGAGCTTGGGCAGCAGCAACATGATCGTCCCTGAGACGGCGGGGGAGAGAGGAGGGTGGTGGAGCCAGCCCTCTGAGAGTCTCTGTGCAGTGTGCTGCCATCCTACCCAGTCTGTCCAAAACATATGGAACTCCACTGCTGCCATGGTGACCTCAAAGGTCAGCACTGCAAGTTATTAATGGCGCCTATACTGTGACAGTGTTGCAGATTTGTCTCAGACATCTGTTCTTCTGTACATCTGTACAGTATACTAGTCCTAGAGTTTCCCACTAACAGGACCACAGAAGAGCTTGCCAGTCCCCGGAGTAGAGACCAGGACACATCAAAGTGACAGTTTGCACTTGGACAGATCGTAGATACTGACAGCTGGTGGGGCTATGCAGGTATAGAAGACATTGGCACAAGGAAAAGCAGTGCTCATTGTCAATGAGACAACAGGGCAAAAAGGAAATCCTCCTATTCAATTTGGATTCATCCCAATTGGTGCTGAGGAGACCCCTGATCCTTTGTGTGTTAGATCTTGTGGAACACTGAGCAACAACATAGCATCAACTTCAAATCTTCTTCCTAATAGTTCTAAAAGAAAAACACTGTGGAATATTCTGGATGGAAAAGAAGTGTTCAGTCAAACATGAGATTGTGGAGTTTAACTTAGACTTGGACTTTTAGCTGTACTTACTGATATTAGGTTGTTGGCCTGTGAATAGTACAACAACTTTAAACCCATCTATTAACTATTTTAACTGGGTAGCTGTCCAGTAGTGGAAAACTCACACTTTACTCAATAATACTGCAAATGTGTCTTAAACACGTCCTTACACTTTCAGGTACATTAATCACAGAGTTGAACCTCTTGTAGAAATAAGGACAGGCATTATGTTTTTCACTTGATAGATCATGAGAAATCCAGGTTTCTTCTGGAAGTTTCGGTACACTGCAAAGAAAAATCTTCCTTAGCTCTTTGCTCAGGTCTTACACTTCACTTGAAGTGAGAATCCTCACGTGTAAAGAGCTGCAAAATAATTAGGTGACTAGTTTCTAAAGGCACTGCTCTCTTGTTGCTCTCTGTTCTCTAAAGGCTTCTACTGGCCTAATCAAATGCTTGCAGCCATATCACCCTGCAACTCACAACTGGCAAGCCACTGAAGCTAGGCAGGTGTGAGCCTGGTCAGTACAGTACCAGGATAGACCTCTTGGGAAAAACTAAGGTTGCTGCTGGAAGAGGTATTAGAGGGGCCAGCAGGGGGCGCTCACCCTGTACTCTGTGTGGATCCTAATGCTCCAGTATAGTGAAGGGGACACTATACTGTAAAAACGTGCTATCCTTCGGATGAGACTTAAAACCGAGGTCCTGACTCTTTGTGGTCATTGCTCGTTTCTCGAAAAGAGTAGGGGTGTTACCCCTTTCCAATTGGCATTTACCAGTAGTGGCCTCCTAATAATCCCCATCTGTGAATTGGCTTTATCATTCTGTTCTCCTCCTCACTGATAGTTGGTATGCAGTGAGAGTACTGGTGCACTATGGCTGCCATTGCATCATCCAGGTGGGTGAGTGGAGTGTCCAGAAAAGTGCTACGTAAGTGTAATGAATTATTATTATTATTATTATTATTATTATTATTATTATTATTATTATTATTATTATTATTATTATTATTATTATTATTATTATTATTAATCCAGCCAGGATTCAAACTAGGTAAGATCTATAGCAAGCAAGTATGATCCAGGCTCCCGCCCAGACCAACAACAGAAATGCTAACTGTCTCTTAAATTTTAAATATCTATGCAATCACATGTACTCTTGTATCTAATTACAAACTGAATCAAATTTGTTGTTTAAGTACTGGATGGTGTCTGCCCCCACGACCACTCCCCCACAGCCAAACTGAAAAATGCCCTATAATTGGTTTTAATCAATCAGCATGCACGCTGATTATTATAATTAAAAACGTTAGGAGCCACTGCAGTGCTGCTCCTGCGGACAGTTTGTCTTCCATTAAATATCTCTTTTGTCAAAAGTGCCCAGAAACAGAGAGGAAGGGGAGAGGAGACTGAAGTTATCCCAGCACAGTTCCTTCCAAACAAGTCTCTGACAAAATGTTCTCTCTTTTGCAAGTTCCAGAGTGGCAGTACAAGGTCTGAGAAGAGCCAAGGAGAAAAAAACATTTAATCACTGGACTACACTGGACTACTGGATGTCACATCTTATCAGCACTAAACAAAACTGGCTTCAAGTGCAGGAAAAACCTTAGAAGAAGAAAAGGCTGTGTTTTATCAGTGAGGCAGATCCAGATTATTGTATGGAAGATTTACCACTGAGCTGCATTCCTGCCTGATTTCAACTCAGTTGGTGAAACAATGCACTGAGTGCGGTTGATGTGGCCGTTTCAAAAGTGGGGTTTTGGAGTCTCGACAAGTCGTTCAAATCCTCCAGAAATGTTCAGTTTTGACAGCAGCATTTATTTATTTTTTGCCCTGGGGGGGCACACTGCTTAATGTGCAGTCAATGATGGGCAGTTTGACCGCAGGGGGAGTGATTTCACGATCTGTGTGAAATCTGGTAAACACTAAAAAGAGGAAGATGAAATAATAAAAAACTCCGAATCAAAAAAGCACAATTGTAACAGCTAAAGTCAGGGAATGGGTTAAGAAAGTAAGATTCATAAAACACAGAACAAAATCATAAGTCATAGCCTTTTTCCCCCCTTCACTTACAGTACACGTACGTCAATTAAAATAATTACATATATAACATTTATTGGCGTACTGGGCAATATTAGCTACTTTTGCTGCTGTCCTTCACCCTAGTATAACTTAATTAAAAAAAACTCCACGGACCCTGCTTAAACTGAAAACGTATGTTTTAAAAAAATTAATAAGATCGCCATGGCTTTACAACTGCAAGTTGCAGAAAACCAGAGAGCAGACAGCGCAAACATAACTCCGGTGCTCTAAGTGTCGGCTCAGCCGCCCAGTCGTACTGGACACTGGAAACAAGCAGTGCATGCAAGAGAAAGAAAAGACAGCAACTTGCCTAGCTGGTTTGCACGCTCTGTCTCGCTGCTGGGACGCGGCGCGGTGTTACCCTGGAGAACGGGACAGGTCGCGGCTCCTGCCCTGGATGTCTCTAGGAGTCGGTGCCTCTCAACTCTTGCCAGCAGGGTGAAGGAGGACTTTCCTAGCGCAGCGGGTCAGTCCTGGACCACACGGACTACCGCGGCTATGCTGCTCTCCCTGTGCCGCCAGTTGTCTGTCTTCAGCCTTCCCCTCTCTATATTCATCATCAGTTTGCTAATCCTTTTCAAAAATCAGATGGATTAGAATGGCAGATTAATTACGGAGGCTCCGGGATCTGCCTGCGGTTTTGAAAAAAAAAAAGTCCTCGCAGAATAAAACCCTAGCAATCTGGGATCCGTCGAGCATCTCCGAACCAACAGGCGTGTGGCGGGCCACGAGCAGCTGCGGATTCCCACCGCCTTTTGACGTCATCCAGCGCGGCGTCGTGAGGAGGGACCTACCTGAGCGTGGAGTCTGGGCTGCTTGCCTTAGGCCCAAAGCGCTCTTCTTGTGCTGAATGGCCTGTAGCAAAGAAAGGCAGCCGGCTCAGTTGACAAGTTGACAAAAGCAAGAGACTAGGTGATTGCAGGGCTCGTAATTTCGTGTTAATGCAGATCGGGATACTTGAAAGTACTTACACATACGAAATTGTATATTTGTCATTCATGTATGAAATTTGACCCGTGGTCATTTATTTCTCTTGGAGCACGCGTAACTAAAATACCGGTATTTACATAATGCAGATAGTTTTGAAAATGAAGAAAGCGATTGAGCCATAAAGGTGAACACAAATATGCAAGTGCTTCTTGAAAAGAAAAATAATTCTGATAGCGGTTTCCGATAGATTACAGGAGGAGCTGAATGTATGTGTATAATATTTACCTTCATTACAAAAAGGAATATAAAAACTACGCAGCCGGTAATTGTGCTATCAATCCGACAAACAACTGAGAAAATATTTTGCTTTGGAATTTTTTTATGCTTCATTTCGCTATTTCTCAAGGTTGACTGACCTTGAGGTATTGGATAGAATAAAATGCGTTTTAAGTGTTTTACTGCCATGGTACATTTGTATGCAGAACACAGTTTACAATCAGCTGAACTGTAATTGTCACTGTGAAATACTTCCATACTAGACACATTGACCCGCTTGCAGCAAATGGTGACCACCCATTGCGTTTTACAGCAATTCCGATCTGGCAGTGATGTTCTCGCTATAACTGAATTGAAAAAGTACTGGACTGATGATACCAAAACACCCTTCACAAACACAACCATAAACGTGAAATAGATGTAGTATAAACTGTATATATATAGCATCTCTTTTAAGTACGTGAAAATGGTACTCGTATTAAGCTTCCTATAGGGCAACTCGAGAAGGCTCATCGCCTGCTTCACTTTTTAACTGCCAACACACACAATCTAACAGAAATTTCGAATCATGTTTAAGTGAGCAAAAAAAGATTTTCAAAAAAATAAACACTGCTGTAGCAGTTACGTGTTCCATACTAATCCCACTCCAGTTTCGTTAATATCAATATTACCAGGATTCTGCAGCTCTTATAGTTGCATTTGCAGACAGCCATAACTGGTCAGCGATCAGAAAAAGCATATACACTACTCCTAATTAGGCAGCTGATTGATCCAATGAAGTCATGCAAAGCCAAAGTGGAATAAAAATCAGAGAACTCTGTGGTTCTACAGCACTGGAATTATTGACCCCGTTAGACACTTATGTCAAACATTATGTGTAAGGATATTTCTTGATAGAGCATGCAAGAGTTTCTACAGTAACCATGACACTAGCAGCTCTCAGTAAGGTGCCCTCAGGTAGTTTTGCATTCTATATCCTTCTAATTTTATTCTTCTTTCAGGATCGCCGTTTCTATTATCTGGTGAACAAACAGAACATCGTACAGTATTACAAAATGTAAACCCTGCTGTGTTAAATTAGTGCCAGCAGAGGGAGACAGAGACCCACAAATCTTCAGTAATCAGTACCATCAACGATCAATGATGCCGATTAAAACCCAAGTTAGCTTGTCACCACTGTAGCATCTTTTGATCAATTTCTGTTCCACCTTATAGACTTTTAGTTAAATAGGAACCTATTTATTGTGAAAGGGTAATTACTCATCTTAATTTTGTACGTTTTTTTGAAAACATAAAAATCAAATTGTAACGTACTGTGGGTTATTTTTCAATGACTCTTTTTTGCAATGGCGAAAAAAAAGGCCAGGCGATGTAAACGTGTGTACAGATGTTGTGTGAATCTCAAAAACGCAAAGATGAAATGTGACAGTTAGCAGCAGATGCTGAATTGAAATACTGGAGATGTCCAATCCAGTAATCTCCCTATCACCGTATCATTCATTGCCTAGAGAGAGATCTACATAAGGTCAAAACAACAAAATATTACGTCCTTTCTCTCTAGCCTTTGACCTCCATGTCGATAGATGGCGCGAAACCTTGATCTAAGAAGCTACCCATTAAGCCCCCTCTTCAACTGTCTTCGTAAGTGCCTGTGGTTTATATAATAGTCACGGAAAATGTTTTCAGTAGCTTTAAATTATTTGCTGTATTTACATATATCCGTATGTAATTTTGCATGTCGTGTCTGAAGCTAATTTCACACAACTAATTTGCGTGTACATGTTTTATAATTCAGTTCAATCCGGACCTTAAAAGCCAGCTAAATGGAGCCCAAGATGTCGGGAAAGAGCTTTCGCGTGAGCGATGGTGACTGGATTTGCCCAGATAAAAAGTGAGCGTTTAAATAAAATTGATGTAAATGTATGTTTTTAAAGACGCGTTACAAGTGCGTTATTTTCAGCATGAGTGGTTTTAAGTTTTTATTAATTCAGAGGGAAAAAAACCGGAAAGGGTTTCGCAGGCTTGACTACGTGACTCAGGCCGTAGGCCCGCACGACTGTGTGAAATGAATATTCTGTTAGTACTTTGCCTCATGCTACATGCTCATTTGGTATTATTCTCATACCATTGCTTAATTACCAATTTTTGCAGCCCGTAGCAGGTGCACGCCTATTTCTTAATCTGTGCATAATAACATACCGCTGCTACCCAACGTGTGGTCTTGGTTATGCGGACACTGCTTGTACGGTTTTCTTATCTTAACACAATCATAAAAAAAAGTATGATAAGTATCCGCCGTTGCCTCGATAGTAATCACAATCGGGGCTGAAATGTGAAAATCATTATTATTTGAACGCTGTGTTTAGTGATTAAAATTTATCGTCAGTAAAATTATTGGAAGGCGTTAGATTCATCGTTATTTAAAAAAAATGTGATGGTAACAAAGTCTTTGATTATAATCACTCATTATGCACATAACGTCGGACAGACATGGAGTAGTCCGGCACCAGAATAATTCAAGTGCTTCTTGCTTTAAATATAGTGCATTCTGCTGATTTGGGCTTTACTGTACTGAAGACCAGGCTCTAGCACAAAGGGTGGTGGGGACGTCTTGTGTGCACCAACCACTAAATCTCTCTTTTATCAATCTGTTTTTATTGAATATTGTAGTATTGCTACTGGTTTTAGGTGAGTTGGTTTGTTGTAATTTTCTTTGTTTTCTCCATTCAGGTTTATGTGTATCATGTGTGTGCTGTTGTCCCAAACCTTTTCTTAAAGCAATTATGAATAAGTTTGTATTACAGAAACCTGGAAGAAATTTAACACGGGCCTTTCCTTTAACAGAGTTAAAGACTGTATTAAGTCTGAAAATCTTTTGGCACTCAGTGTCAAGCAAATATTCAGTATAATATTTAAATAATATATTTGGTACACCCTTGCAATCTGTTAGTGATGATGTTTTTGATTTCGATTCATCTGAGCAAGAAGCAGCGACGTTTCCTGCATCTTGATCTTGCTGGCATAAGTATGGTACTCCCTATAATATCTGAGCTTAGTTAGTTAGTCCACTTGCAATCTCCAGGATCTCTCCAGGAGGAATCAGTTTGTCTAAAAATATAGATATATATTTGCTGAATCAGCACAGTGCAACAAGCAGTACATCTTGAGCAGAATTATGGAGCTGATTCCACTGTAATTTCCCAACACTTCCTATGTCACAACATAGTATTCAAGATAAAATTTGCCATCTTTTACTTGCGAAAACAATGCTTCATAACTTATATCCTTGCTTCATATGTAATTAATTATACATTATGTCAAAGCTTTTGAAAAGGATTACCTAGTGCATCTTTGCCTTGCAGCAGAAGTTATTTTTTGTGTAATGAAAGTGGAAGCTGTCAAGGTTTGTGGTTCCAGTTTTAATGGATGGATTAAGATGCATTTGTTGAATGGATTCACCAATGAAACTAGGATTAGACATCAGTACAAATGTCAGGAAATTATAAAATACTGTTTTTGTTGTTTGAAGGTGTGGAAATGTGAACTTTGCTAGGAGAACAAACTGTAACAGATGTGGTAGAGGTAAGTTTTTTTTTCTTTTTTCTTCTTAGAAACTCTTAATTGTCCCAACTAGGTGTGAATCCTTGAAGCATATCACTATAACATTTTAAAAATTAAATGAACAAGTGCCAGCGTGACCTTATTAATGATTGCTGTCAATCTATAAAGTGTTTTAAGTGCTGGAAAAATCCTGATGATTTTAGTGAAGCAAAGATGAATTTCGGATGTAACAAAAGACTTGAACTGTACTTTCCTGTTATACCGATGAAAAAATAAGTTAAATAGCCAACAAGTCAATCACTATGCAACAATTCAGGTCTATTTCATATATTCTTAGCAGGAACTACAGTTATTACATTGTGGTTATTTTCATTGCTGAGCCGTTGAATAAAAAAAATATAAAAACATACCAAATAGTACAAGTAACGGGTTTATTCCATGGTGAAAAGAGAAGAAAGACAACACAACGTTTCGGCTGTGGAGCCTTCTTCTGATGTGAGAAAAACAGCCAGCAAAGATTAAATAAATAGCACAGGAGAACAAAAGCTGGGAGAGGGGAGAGACAGAGAGGCCACTCAGGTGGTACGAAGTGGAGAGAGGTGAAGAGAGGGGTGAAGTTGAAACCTGCATGTGAATAGAGAAGATTACAGGAAAGCAAGTCTGTCACTGAGAGAAGGGGGAAGGTGTGAACCACATTTCAGGACAGTATTTTTGTTTCTGATGTCTTTCTGGTTTGGGAGTTAAGAAACCTTCTTTGAGAAAGTAGATGGAGAGATCAGTGTGATCAGAGATCATGGTGGGTGAATCGAGCACGGTGCGTTTGTCCAGCCAGTAAGACCATCATTGTGGGGAATGACGTTGTAGAGAGATGTGATCTCCATTGTAAAAATGCCTGAAACTGGAAATTGTTAAAAAGTTGGAGTGTCCTTGATATATGAAGGGAGCCTTTAAACCAGCGGCCTCATCAGGCTGTCGAGAAAGGCCGAGATGTGAGTAGTCAGACAGTTGTGTGCTGAGACGATGGGGAATCCAGGGGTGTCGGGTTTATGGATTTTGGGGAGGAGGTAAACCTGGGTTGTTCAACGATGAGCCGCTTCGCCTTCTGGGTGAGTTCCTTGCTGCTGATAAGAAGGGAGATGGTGGAGATGGTGGTAGTCAGTGGTAGGATCCTGTTTGAGAGGACGGTAAGCAGAAGTGTCGGTTAGTTGCCTGGAGGCTTCATTAATATACAGGTCTTTTAGCCACACCACAACAGCGCCTCCTTTGTCCGCTGGTTTAATGACCAAATAGTATATGTTGTAATTGATTCCTGTAGTTTTTACTTTGTAAATATTGATGCAGTATATCATGTTGAGTGAATGGATTTTGAAGGACACATTTGGTTACTTGTCAAAATCAAGAATGCATACCCTTACTATGATCTTTGACTCATGTCTTTCTTGTGCTATTAAGTTCCCATAAATCCTCTGCAAAATGTAAATATCTGTTACAAAATACAGTTCCCCACTACTTCTCAAGGCATAAGCACACATCAGAAGGAATGCACTTTCCTAATTTGAAAAGGGGAGTGTATCCTGTAAAAGTAGTTTTAGTAACAATTTCTTGGCTCTGTGTGGGAAACCTTGTGTGGGCAATTTAATATTTTAACCAGTGGTATGCAGTGATGTCATCAGGGATAAATTCAAAGGATTATCACTCTCATTCTCAGCTCTGGGAAAACTGTTTAAAACTGACAAATATCACTTAAAGGAAGTGATGCTTGCCAAATTGTTAATTGCTCAGTGAGCTTGATCTTCTTTTGCAGTGTGTGTAGTGTTTTTGGTACAGTTGCACTGCTTGATGTATTGACACTTTTATTTAACCTGTATGCCGTTTTTCTGCATGCATTGATACTATTTCCTTAAGTTTTGTGTTTTTTTAAATTATAAGTGTAGCACAGAATTTCATACATAGTGGTGAAATGGCTTTCAACCACCATAAAAATGCAGCAGATTAAAAGCCCTTTTTATTATGTGCGATTTGCTCTATCCCTGTCACCACACATATTGGGCGGATGACCTATAGTTTTAAATTTAGCTTTTTTAAAATTAACAGACAGGGTCAATGTTTCTGTTTTTTCAGAAAATGTGCAAGACGGTATCACTACTTTGTCTGTTGCTGCAATCAGGGTGCTGAAATAAAAGTGAAAAGTGTCAAGTCTTGCTTCACAATTAATCTGTTATTGACAAATCTTTTTAAAGAGTTGGTGTAGCAATTACTTGACTGCGCGGTTTGTGTGACTATTGCACGCCAGAGTCACTTTCTTGTAGTGCTCTAACAGAGTAGTCAGTTATTTACTGGAAGCTATAAGACTTCAGGACCAAACATAAATTCTTGATCTTTTTAAAGAGATGTATTGGGCACTGGGAGAGTTTAGGGACTGTGCAGACCTTCCAGCTCTTCCAGTTCCCCTTTGTTCTTGTGCAAAACCTGCAAATGTTGTTGCAAAAACACGTTGGAAGGTTTAATTTATCACATAATGAGACCAATAAGGCAGGAATGAACTGCAGTAATGATCACCAAAATGTGAAACTGTGACAAAATTGTTTTATTGTCTGTTGTTGAACTGTGCTTGTGAGTGACTGTGATGAGGCTATCTAGTGCTTTTGGGGGTTTTCTGGTACGTGGCCATAGTTCGAGAAAAGATGAAGTGATATCATGAATTAACATGTAATGTTTGCAGTAGATTAGTAAATTGTTTCAATTTGGGTTTTTTTAGATGTAATGGAGTACATTTTTGCGGGGTTCATGTCTGTTCTTATCTTTTTATATTGTTTTTACCAGAAAAAACAACAGAAGCCAAAATGATGAAGGCAGGAGGCACAGAAATAGGGAAGACGCTTGCTGAAAAGAGTCGTGGTCTCTTCAGCGCTAACGACTGGCAGTGTAAAACGTAGGTGTTTCTCTACTGGAAGCATTTCTTTTCTTGATCTGTGATTGCCAAGGCAATAATTATTATTGAAATTATTTGGCACACTATAATGATTCATCAGGTGTGTAATTTAAAATTTTCATCAGGTATGTAATTTCTAAATTTATTGACCACTGTTTGTATGTACACATAATCTATGATTGACATGGATTCGACATAGAGTAAGTGTGGATACTGTAGTATTCCCTGCTACAAACATTGTACGTTTATAAAAATAAACCATTTTGATTGTATTAGCCAGTTTACCTACATCCATAATAATATCTGACAGACCAATGTAAAGTATACTTGTATATATTGGTGTTGGTTGCATGAACTTTTTTTTTAATATAGAAGGAATATAAGCCTCCCATTAATCAGGCAATGTGAGCGTGTGAACTCAATACAGCAGAATTGTGCAATGTTAACATTGCTTCTCCCCACCATTATTCAATATTCATCTCCTTCTTGCTCACTGATAATGGAGACATCCCAGTGAACTTCAGTTATCTGGACATTATTTGCAGATCAGTTATTTATTGTATGAAAGTTTCTTTGCACACACTTACCTGTACTTACTCTACTTGAAAATCAAAGATTGGTTTTAAATCTTTTGATTCATATTCAAACAAGAGCTTTATCTCGTTATCATGCCAGATTCAATCCATTAGTCTATGGCAAACAGAAAATGGCATGTGGGTAATTAAGCTGCCAATAAGAATTATAACTGTACATTATTGCTTTTTATTAGTGCTCCTCACTTGTTCAGTCTGTTTGAATCATCACTATTCAGATTCAAGTCAGTTGTTCCCAGTTAGGCAAAGAGGACAGGTTGCATAACAGTAGTATTTATGCTTATCATTTATAATTAAGTCTTATGGATTTTATTGACAGGCCTATTTATTATATATATATAGCATGTTCCTGTTTAGCCTAAGCTTAAGAGATGTTAAGTGTTTTTAGTACATTACAATATACATTTTCAATAACATTCTTACATAAAGAAGCACCTTTTGGGCTACCAGTATGTTTTAGATATAATACTTTGCACTCAGTCATATGACCAACAGTGATTCAAGAATCGTTGGAAATAAATGAAGATTGTAATGCTTCTAACAATCAGAAGGTTGATGAAGATGCTTTATTTTGGCATAACAACCATGTTTTTGTCAGCACTGTATAAGAGAAACAAATGCTTATGTTTCACTGTCACCCTTCTGCTCTATTTTCCCAGTTGCGGTAATGTGAATTGGGCCCGAAGGTCAGAATGTAATATGTGTAACACTCCCAAATATGCTAAGCTGGAGGAAAGAACAGGTAAGGATCTCTTTTCAGTGAGAGTTTATAGCAGTGTCCTTTTTTATTTCAAGGAAAGCCCTGGCTGACCCCATCCTCACAATAAACATGATGTTTATTCTAGTAGTTTTTACTTCTTATGATACATTTTGTATAAAACAGGAGCTATAAAGGCATTAACTTAAATGTAAAAGTTATGTGTTGTTATAACTTCTTAGCTGATTGCCCTTTTCGCTTCATTAATGCGAGGTAGCATTTATAAAATGTTTTACATTGATTTCAGCTTGTATTTATATAAACACCATGAACATTATTGGTGTGGAATCAGTATGATTTATATACTGTCATTGCAAAAGCAAATCATTTTTTTTTTCGTTTTCCTTAGTATCTTCTTTTCAAGGACCTATATTGCTCCCAGAATTGTATTTGTAAATGCATCCTTTCTTTTTTGTGAAACAGGATATGGGGGAGGATTTAATGAGAGAGAGAATGTAGAGTATATTGAGCGTGAAGAATCTGATGGTGAATATGATGAGGTATGTATTTATAATTTATATTACGTGTTTATATGCACAATATTTTTCTGATTAGATTTTAGTTTATTTTTGGTTTATTTTGGTTAAGAAAGTGAGACTGCATTTACCAATAAAGAAAGTAAAATTCCTTGAAGTTTTCTACTCTTCTGTTGTGTATTCGATTAAAATTAGCTTGTTTTTTGGGACATTACAAAGTTAAAAAGCTTTATTGTGACTTTTTGTGTCTTATCTTAATTTAAATTGGTGTCCACTACAGAATTCAATGTAATGTTTGTTTTCAGAAAGTGTTTACCAATTTGTTCCTAAAGAGTAACTTCCTTTGGGGACTTAAAAAGAGAAAACCTGGACAGAATTAGCATGTGTATTTGAAGTAAAAGGCATCTGATTTTTATTAGAGGTCAGGTAGGAAGTTATGTCCTTAATGGAAACCTGAAAGGGGGACATTAAGTTCCCATTTATTTCCCATATGAAATAGTGGAAATAGTAGCTAATGGGGACTGGGAGGAAGGAAATATTCCCTGGAGAATGTGAAGTACGACGAATATTCTTATTCTTAAAATTTAAATTTAAAATACACAAAGTTTTAAAATAATACAGTAATATATATCAGTGATGATTTTTATATAATATAAAATCTTTTTTGCAACAGTTTTACTATATAGTTGCCATTTTTTTTCACCCTCTGTGTTTTTAGGGTGAAGTTGGTGGAGGGTAGAATTTTTATGTCCATGGTTGCAAAAAGTCAGCGGTGTAAAATTGGGGTTATGCTAAGCGGGAACCCCATGTACTACTCTAATTGAGCAAACGTATTCTCACAGTGAGCGTTGTGTAAGATAGTGAACTCCAGCTCTGCTCATTTTTTTCTTTAAATGATTTTTCACACGGAAGGAGGGCCACCGTGGACTGCTGTCTGTCCATGTACTGCTACGTGTTCCACACTACATGTTCCACACTAAACTTCTTGCTTTAACCTAATAGTTTGGCCGTAAGAAGAAAAAATACCGTGGAAAGACTGTCGGGGCTACATCTATTCTAAAAGACAAGGAGAAGGAGCAAGCGGGGGAAGAGAATGATGAAGAAGATGAGGATGATGAAGACGACGAGGAGGGTGACCTTTCAAAATACAAACTTGATGTAAGAAGATAATTATTTTACTGTAAACTTTCCAAGACTTTCCTTCTGGAACCATCTCGTAGTTCTGTTCTGTATTGTATGCAGAGAATACATAGAATGCCAATATCATTAAATCTTTAGTTTTGTTTTCTCTACATTCTTAAACTATTTTGGAAAAGAGGTAGGATACAATGATTGTGCACAGTTTAGACTTCTGACGTTTGATTTAAGCCACCAGATCATCGAAGTGTTTCAAATGCTGGGCGGAAGCATTCATTGGTAAAAAGGCGTTTGGATGACACTTTGAAGATGTTGGTCTTATCCAGCGTTTTCTCTCTGTGCAGGATGATGAGGATGATGAAGAGGATGATGACGAAGATGCAGACCTTTCCAAATACGACCTGGATGCCAGCGATGATGACGCAAAGCAGGAGGCGAAGAAGAACAGCCGCTCGGACTCCTCGCGGTCTTCCTCCCGTTCCTCTCGCTCCAGCTCGCGGTCCAGGTCCAGGTAAACGGGTACAGGTCAAGGGTAACTCCAGGCAAAATGTCAGTATCAGTTCAACTTTCTTTAAAATAACATTCCTCTTTAAATGCATTTCTTCTGCAGTAGTGAGAACACCAGTGCTCTGAGAAACTGCCGTAAAACTGTACACCCAACGTCATTTGTGTGTTTGTATGTATGTTTAGAAATGATATTTGTGTCGGCACCCTTTTTGACAATGTAAAACTGAATTTACCGAATTTACTTTCCGACTCCAGTCTGCTGTGTTCTAGTCATTTTGTTTTCTGATACATTGGTAAAAAAACGCGAGTCTGAGTTCACGTTCACCTGTGGGGTTCATTTTTCTGCTTTTAATGGGCCAGGCAGTGGGTGGTGTTATAACTGCTGGGTCAGAATATCACGTTTTACGGCCTTTTTGCCAAACGGCAACTAGATTAATTTTGAATGTGTGGATTTTCATTCTTTGTATGAATGTTTTATCATCTTAAATTTTTATTTTTATTTTCCATTTATTAAAAATGCTTTGGAATAATGTCCATTTAATGTCCATTTACAAAAGGATATAACACTTGAATTTGAGTGACTTGGTCTATTCTTATTTGCAGATATCTGGTATTCTCTGTGCCTTACACAGTGTAATTCACTTCTGCAGTGTGTTAAGTATTGGAAAGATGTTGTCCTTTTTTCAGGTCCCGATCACGAAGCTCCTCCAGCTCCAGATCAAGGACTCGCTCAAGTTCCAGAGATCGTGCGCGATCACGCAGGTCGAAATCCAGGTGAATTAGGTGACATGCTCTCCTCTAGCGAGAGTGTATGTGATGAGGCAAAAGCGGCGGAGAACTATTGCCGTCTTAAACCTTTGTGGAATGTGTACATAGACTGGCACCAGCGAAGCGAAAGCAGAAGAAAATCACCTTCAGTCTCCATTGTGACATTCTGACCAGAAGCTAGTGAAGGAACATCTCTAATTCCAATGACAGACTCATGGTTCACTCAAGATGATTCGAAGCTCATACTGCCAGATTTATTCCTGGAAGTTTGGACCTCTGTCTACCACAATTTTTTTTTAAATCAACCTCAAGTAACTTTTCACAGCAACCAGTGGTTTTTGCTTCAGACTTTACAAGTTAGGAAAACATTCATTTTACATGCTAGCTGTGAAAGAAATGCATCAAGGGATATATGCATTTTGCACAGAAAATACTGTTTTTTTTATTTCCTTCCTGATGTTGTTGTAAAGCTGTTTTGACTGAGCACTGGAAAGAGATAACAAACTATTTTCTTTCATACTAATCTGAATAAATCTGATTTATTCCCTTAACCTCCCAAGATCCAGCTCCAGGTCTCGCAAGGGGTCTTCATCTCCAAGGAAGAGATCTCGCTCGAGTTCTCCATCCTCATCCTCCCCTGAGAGAGGCAAGAAACGAAGCCGTTCCAGATCATCCTCATCTGGCGAGAGAAAAAAAAGACGTTCAAGATCTCGTTCGTCAGAAAGGTTTGGGTTTCTGTAGAATAAAATAGGTGTATGTTTTCCGCACGATAGAAATGTCATATTGTGCAAACAGGTCAAAACGGAAAGATTAAACATCCCAAAAGGCATTGGCCAATGTTCGTTTGTTCTTTCAAACACCACTAAAAAGGGTTTTAAAAAATCTTTCATTTTACAGCATCATTTTTTAAATGGATATAAGAAATTAGAACAAAGGAAGTATGCTTTGAAATGTTTGTAATCAGCAGAGCTAGATCTGAACCTTCTCAGCACTCACAGGTTTCCACGGTTTCCTTTTGTCTTTTCAGACGGCGCGGATCATCCTCTGGATCCTCACACTCTGGCTCCCAGTCATCAAGTTCAAAAAAGAAATAAGTTCAAATCAACCATTTTTAAAACTGGTAGATTTAAGGCAAAAGTGCATGGTGTGTTTTAAAGATACAGGTGAACTATTGATTCTGTTTATAGCTAAACTGTCTTACCTGGCAGTATGTGCTGAATATTCTTTTTTTGACTACATAAGTGGCATGTTTGTCCAGGCTTTCTTAGAAAAAACTGCTTGTTATGCTGTTATCCGTCTACTCAGTAATGTTTTAAGCCATATCCCACACACTTCTTTTTTAAGGATCCTGTTTTGCTTTGCTATCTTCTCATAGCTCCATATTTTTGTGTTACTAAAAGCATAGGGAAATAAAGCTAAACAGTACTTCTGTTAATATTTTGGTTTTCTCTGTGGCCTAAATTAAAGTGGCATGCATTCTGCCTATATGTTTAATAGTACCAATAAGAAATTTAACATTCAATCTTTTAAATCGTTAGTAGCCAGAGTACTGCAATTTCAAAGTCACATGTCACAAAACACCAGGGCTATTGCATCTAAATTTCTGTGGTCTTTTGGTACTCTTAGTGACCAATTAGTAAATTATTCCACCTTTGGTCATCATTAAATTTAAATTCTGTGGAATTTTAACCTGGGAATCCATTTTCTGGAACTTTAGTCTTCATATTGTATGAGTTCTTAAAGGTAAGTATTTTTTATTTACTTTGAAATTTTGGCATTCAAGCAAATGAACTGTGAATCCCACTTTTGAATTTCTGGAGCCATCAAATAAAATAAAGCAACTCACACTCTTATTAGTATTTAATAAACCTGGTATGTTTATGATTCTGAGACACATTAAAAATGTGACAAATGGTATGGGTCCCAGAGGTTTTGTTGCATTTTTAATACTGCTCAGAGTATTTTCTTCTTTTTCCCTGGAAATAAGTAATAGGACTGTGAATATTAAATGTAATTCCAAATAAAATGTAGTACAGCTAATATTGAGTAAGTGCAGTCTCTATTTTAACTTGGTACTTTTTTGTTCTTTGATTTCCACCAAGGTCTAATTTAGTGGGCCAGAAGGCTTTCTGTAACGTGAGGCCATTTAATTTGGTTGGTTTACCCCTATATTTTGTAACTGCAGTCACTGTATTTTGTGTTTGGGTAATGCTAAATTGCAGATGTCTTTTTTTTTTGAATGACAGCAGTAATAGAATATGAATTAACTTAGTTTTTCAGTTCATCGAATTAAAGTGGAATTGTAAGCAAAATGTAAATAAAATCTGTCAGCAATCGTGCTTTGTGCTTTTCTTGCCTTTAAGTTGTTATGTGGCACTGAGGCACTGCTATGCCTCCGTGATGTTTTAAACAGAATCTGTGGGTTTCTTTCTTAACTTTGGTTTATTGAGTGAAAAGTGCAGACATTGCATCTGAGGCCACTCTCACAAGAGGCCTTTGGAGCAAAAATGAAAAGGAGCTACTGTGTTGCTTCAGTTTCGCAAACCACAGGCAGTGGGTGATGTGATAAGGCCCAGTTAGACATGCCATAACATGGCTTCAGGACCTACAGTAGGTAGTGGCATCACTCTTCCCCATTTGGTAATGATTACATTTTGATACCATACAGAACTAGGCAAGTTTTTACCCAATAATCGTGACTTTTTTTTTCTAGGATGAGGTTTTAGCAAAATGAGTTTATGTATTAATGTTGATTAGAAATGCCTGTGGAAAGACTTTGGAAGTTTGTGAATACCGCACACATACAAGGTAAACACAAACATTTGTGTTAGTATCAAAGAACAGCTAGGGTGATTATTTTATAGTATTCACTTTAAAATCATGCAGGCTAAGCGGCCTTTTAATATTTACTGATCAGTAGAGAGCTGACATCTAGTGGAAATAAGTTTTAAAAAAAACTTAACACTGGATCAGCCCATTACCGTAGTTAAGGTGTTTGCGGTTAATAACATACTAATGCCACCTTCTGCCTTATTCAAGACGGCAACATCTTCACATTGTGGATGTTATCAGACCTGGTCTGCAGTGTTACTATTGATGTCAAAGTGTCTACAGTAGGCCTTCCTGGGATTTGGTTATACATCAGTGTTCATCTCATTCACGTCGATGGATTTCTTGAGAAAATTTCTTCCCTTTTCCTTTGAGAACCATGAAGGAAAGTGATGTGAGCAAATGTCCTGCTGTACTTGCCCATGATCGTTAAGGTCTAATTTCCTTCTTGGAAAGAAATCGCTGTTTTTGAAGTTCCCATCAGAAGTGAATTGATGTGCTTTTTAGTTGGAGCAGGACAACTGACTACAGAATATCCACCTGGCCTTTTATCCCCCTCTCTCAAATGTTAGAATCTTCTTAAGACTCTGCACATAACTAGTGCTCTCCCTGACCTGAACCTGCTCCTGTACGAATCGTTTGGTTCGCATCTTGAATGGACTAGAATGGCACGGTGTTGGGTCCCTGGGTCCCATTTTGGAAGTGGGGTGCTATCTGTGTGGAGTTGGTATGTTCTCCCAGTGTTTCTGTGTGTGTTCTCCCGCACTCCAAATCATACTGGTAGGTTAATTGGTTTCCCTGTGTGGGGCCAGAAAAAAAGCTGTGTGGGCTCCAAAAGACACTTCCCCATAACACCAAAAGAGAGAGAGAGATAGAGATAATACTTTATTAATCCCGTAGGGAAATTGATGTGATGCTTGCTCGGATAGACTCTGCCTCCCTCATGACTTTGAATTGGAAGAAGCGATTAAAAGATGGACTATTGAACGTGAAAGAAAGCTTTACATGTGCTTACATGTGTCTATTTTCTTTGTCCGTTAAGAGCATCTTCCTGTAATTTCTAATCTAAAAGCTTGGTAGGGTTAACTGTTTTCTATTCCACTTCGTTTTTATAATTATAATAAGCTTTGAAATAACAAATGTAAGGTTAAGACGACAAAACATTTTTTTTTAAAGCAGACTAATGGAGATGCAATTTCATCCGTCCTTGATTCAATTTTATTAACTGATCTGTCATACCAAACATTAACTCAAGGTGGCACCTGATTGTTTTTTATTTACACTGGAGGCCTTTAGAGTTGCAAGTTAAAAACCCACGTTATAAACCACCAAAAGGCACTACAATCTATGGAAAATCGCAAGGAAAACAAGCTGCGAAGATAAATTATTGCTGTTTCGAGTTGTATGCGTTTCGTGAATTAAATGAGTTTAACATTACTATTCTCTGGCCAGAAAGTTAAAAATTGACATCGGAAATTACGTTTTTTTTGTATGGTTAAGAGAACAGAAGCTCCACTTTTTTGGTGGTGGTAGCTGTTGGGTACTGGTATTGCTTTTTAAACCGTAAATGCGTAATTCTTTTGACCTAGGAAGCACACTTGAGATCTCATTATCGTATACTCTCCAGTCTGTCTTTTTGAATAAAGCGATAATGGCAAGCAGGTGTGTTAACCATGTCTTCTACCTGTTTCAATGCTTACGTTCCGGTTACTGAATTTCTGCAGTTTACGGCCAACATCACCAAAACCAAATTACGTGATCAAACCGATTAAAGAGACTGAATGGTGCTCTCGTTTCTCGTTTCAATGAATGGGCTCTCGTTTCTAGCTTTTCTTATTTCCAAATTCAGGTTGGCTGAGACGTAGTTGAAATTAATTGTAGCACATTCTGTTACTTACAGTAGGTCAGCGCAGTATCACAATGACTTCAGATGGATCCGCCTCCTTGTGGTTATAAGGATCTCCAATCCAGAGGTGCAGTGCGTGTTCGTGCAGAAAGTTCAATGAATTTGCTATGCGTCGCCTATGGGAGCGGCTACCTGTGTCTGCCGCTGCATGTGCTGTAAAACCATGACTTCTGACGGCTGTGATTCTGTCGACACCTTGGGAAATTCTTCGTCGGGTGCGATGTGGGACCCCAACATCTCAAAGACTATGCGTGAAGTAAACGGCAGTAAAAATCCCGAATGCGGGTCGGTTTCGGTCGCGTTCCCCATAACTATGATGATAACGGGAATGGTTGGCAATTCACTGGCTATCATGCTGGTTTACATTTCTTACCGCAAGAGAGAAAACAAGAAAAAAAAGTCGTTCCTTCTTTGCATAGGGTCCTTGGCACTGACCGATCTTTTTGGGCAACTTCTGACGAGCCCCATTGTCATATCTGTGTACAGGGCAGATCTCAAATGGTACCGCGTCGACCCGTCTGGAAGATTGTGCGCTTTCTTTGGGGTATGCATGACAATGTTTGGGCTCTGTCCACTTTTTTTAGCCAGCGCTATGGCAGTTGAAAGGACGTTGGCCATTACCAGTCCGCATTGGTACTCGAATAACATGAAAACAAGCTTTACAAAGTTGGCATTAGCTTTTATTTGGTGCAGCGTGTTTCTCTTCGCTCTTCTGCCCATCGCGGGAGTCGGACAGTATACTTTGCAGTGGCCGGGTACCTGGTGCTTCATCAGCACAGGCGACAGTAATGTTGCGGGCAACACGTTTTTTTCTATCACGTTTGCGGTTCTTGGGATTTTCTCGTTGATTGTGACTTTCTCCTGCAACGTGGTCACCATCAAAGCATTAGTGTCCCGGTGCAAAACCAAGCCAGCCTCGTCTCAGTCAGGCAAGCAATGGGAGAGATTAACTGTGGAAACTGTTATCCAGTTGATGGGGATTATGTGCGTGCTGTTCACCTGCTGGTCCCCTTTACTGGTAAGTAGAACTCACTTTCATTACAAGTTTACAATTCTGTGGGCAGTTATATCAATGCGTTTCTATAGATACGCCTTGCTTATTCCTTTAAAATAAGGCTGGTCAATTATTCAACCTGTACAGTACCTCACATAGTGGAGTTTTGTTGTAGAAATAAACTGCGCATTTAAACAAGTGTAAACTCCTTGAGTGATTATGTGTTAAACCTGCCAATGTAGAAGAATGATAGCATTGCGTAATAGTGGCTTTTGTTTCTGTTCATAGAAAGTGGATTGTTTTCTTCAAATCCAATCTTTTTTTCCCCACAGATAATCTGAGCATGGCCATTACTTTAGTAACATTTACATTGGCCTTAAAGGCAGCTTTTTACAAGACAAAGGCATATTAGAAACAAGCGAGTACCGCTTTTATTTAACAAAACATTTAGTGAAAACCCTCTAAAGTTGTGCAGAGGCAGCTACACAGTATTTCACCTCATGCCATTAACAGAGAATTGCAGACTTTTCTCAAACATTAAAGCTTAATTACAAAAAAATGTGGAAAAATAAATGTTAAATGGAAATGGGATATTGTTACTGTACATACTATCCTTACTATAAATGGAAAGGAAGCTTTTTTCTCTCAGATGAAATCCATTACATCACCTTCCCAAGCTAGAAAAGTTGCCAAACCACCAACCCACCCGTGGAAGTGGTGAACGATGCATTTCTGTCCCACACACCACCAAGCTCATCACAACCTGAAATTAAGGCATTCCTTCTTGAAGAATGTGGTGGGAGTAAGTTGCAAGTATATAGAGATACTAAGAAATACATCCAGCTCCTTTCATTTTAAGTAAAACTGAGAACAGGAGCCCCTTCTTTACCCAAAGAGTTGTGGGAGTGTGGGACAAGCTACCCAGCCATGTTGCTGAAACTGACATACTGGTTTCTTTACAGAAATGACAGGACGAGATCCTGAGATCAATTAGCTACAAACTACCAAAGAGGCTACATGCTGTCATTTGTAAATGTTCTTAAAGCTGATTTTGCTGCTCACAGGCCAGCAATATATTCTTTCTGTGTTTAGAATATTTTGAACTAGCGAGCGTTTAAGACAACATATACACAGTACTAACAGGATTTGTAAACCACCTCCGCATCTCCGAACTTGATAGGACTTTTACTATAATCTCTAGTCTTTGAAATCAGTTTGCCTGATGTTGTGTAGGATGCATTTATAGGTGTAACTCAAGCTAAAAAAATATAAAATGTAGCTCCACAGAACAATTACAAAAAATTATTATGGGTATTTTTTTACAATTCTAAAGATAGTTTAACCCAAAATTGGATAAATGCTTCCCTTCAGATAAATCAATGTTCCTTAATTACTGGTCTGACTTCAAAGGTTGATGTGTTAAGTTGACTGAGCCTCAAAAAAACATATAGTTTGAGTACTCATGCTACTCATTTTGATTAATTGATCATTCATGACTGACTGTGATGCACTTGGGTGACTTTGCCAGTTGCAAGAATAGAAAACAGCAGGAAGGAGCTAATATTAAGAGTAACGCTCATAGTAAGAGTAATGCTTTCTTTACCTGTATTTTGGAGGCTGGACTAAAGCACCTCAGGTGGACTTGCCAACAATTGAGCCAAGTCCCCCTGGGCGAAGAATCAAGGTTTTGTCAGTGAGCGTGGCGCCAGTCTGTGGAAGGAATGATCATTCCATGTGAAGATCGGAGTGTAATGGTCAGGACAGGAGTGTCTCATCATTACAGAACTCCACTTGTAGTGATTGATGGCTTCCTGACTGCTACATTAATCAAGTCCTGGGATTTCGTTTTTGTAGCCTCTCTGTGGTCGTATCCATAGTATGTCCATATGTCCTAGTGCTGCTTGTGTAGCAACATCCTTGTAACAAGATGAGCAAGTGATATTAGCCCAATTGAACATTTTTAGTCTGAACTGGGATGTTATGTGGCTTCTAAGGCTCAGAGACCAGTGAATCAACACATAATTTTAGGCTGTACAACAGGAATAGTACAGAATCCCATTAGGCAGCATCTGTAACCTGACGCAAAGCATACTGTACATTGCAGATGTGCAGCTTGTGAAGCCACACACGCTGCTAGCCTGTGGATTTCAAAATAAACCTCCTGTCGATCAACGCCGAAGATGACAAATACTAATCTGTATAACTAAATTGTTTAGATCACATCCATTAAATAAAATCAGCAGTACTAAGTAATCAGCTGTAATTTAAATTAAATGTACAAATCAGCCTTAAATAAAATCAGCAGTATTAAGTAGTTCATATGCAATAATTTTCTTGGCTTTTACTTTGTGATTTTGTTGCAGTTATAAGTGATGCGTTTCTTTTTTATTCAGTATATAAACTAGATTGTTAGAGGTATGAATTTTAACTTACAGATTACGTACTAATGCATACAGGAGTATTCATATGCAGTTTTTTATATGTTGGCTAACAGACAAGTGCCAAATCCATCATGCAATTTCACCAGTGAAATGCTTGGGGGGTCAGGATTTGAGTGAAAAACCACTGGACATACATCAAAGCTCACAAGACAACAGAGTGAGTGATTGAAATGTGACATGACAGAACATTGCAGGTGAAGGACAGAGAGGTTCACTATTAAGGAGACAAAAAGATAAAGTACTCTGTTTTTTCCTATCACAATGACAGGGATCTCACAGAAGATGGTTTTTGATTGTATTTCTTTCCTGAGTATTCATTGATGGCTCTACTGCAGCTGACTAAATGAATTCAGTATTGTTTTTGCTTTCACATCCTCACCATTAGGTTAATTGCCTTCTGTGAGCTGTATAGAATTTCTGTGCGTGTCTTTCATGCAGCAATGTTCTGCATCTATTTTCCTGAGTAAATACAAACAACACAGGTTTTGGCTTTGTCCAGCCTCTCAAAAGTTATTGGTGAAAAAAATGCTTTTTGTAGAATGGTGCAATCCAGCAGCCCTTATGATCATGCATTTTGAATGCAATATAAAAGCAGTGAAGATTTTAAAATAAATTATTAGGTGTTGGCTGAATCAAATACCATACACAGGTTCCCTGGAGAGGAGCAGACAAACACTCATCTAGTGTACACACACCATGCCAACAGAGCCATGGGACACTGTAGGCTAAAAGCAAGTAAGTAGATTGATTTTGTTAATCAATTAATTTCAAACACTCAAACTGTGCTCTGGGTACAGTTTTCAACAGAGGTAATTTAACGCACAAAGGGAGAAACGTTTATATGTGTGTGATAGTGGTATAATGTGTTGATGTGAGGTTAATTTTTAATAAGTACCTGTGACCTAATGTTTTGCTTGTGTTATTGTTGGATACTACGTGCTTCCAGAAAATCCCTTTCTATTCAGTTTCAACCTCGTTTTTTTTCTTTATCGCTTAGAGTTGTATTTGCAAAAAGAGTGAGTCATTTTCACTGAACTGCCACTCAGATTGGAAATAAAAAGATTAAAATATAAGCAAAACATTTAGTTCTGAAGTCAATATAAACAACTGCTTACACAGTGCTATTGATTTAAAATGTGGTTAAAAGCCTAATTTTAAAAGCTTAATGACTTGTTTTTTTTCCCTTCAAGTGCACCACATGTGATGATAAAATTTCACTTAATCCTTAAAAAGGTGACAATACTATTGGGTACTGCATCCTATTCAAAATATCACTTTAAATGGATACAAAGGTTTTAAGTAAAATTTAAATAGAATTCTAACTCAAACTCCATAGGCCACAACTCCACAGGTCAAGACTTAATGTAATAGATTTGATTTCAACTAGTTGTATCAATTCTATAAATAGGTATATGAATTGAAAGCAAATTTAGAACAAGATTTTTATTTATTGTTAGTATTAGTAACACTGTTTTTGTGTGCAGGTGTAAAATCATAAAACCGCATTATAAATGTGCAGTCTGTAAAGGGACAAGTATTCCATACTGGAAAGAGAAGAGAGAAAACACAACATTTCAGCTGTGAAGCCTTCTTCAGATGTGAAGGCTTCACAGCTGAAATGTCGTGTTTTCTCTCTTCTCTTTTCAGCATGGAATAAACCTATTACTTGTTCCTTTGTAAATTACGCATGCTGACGCAGCTACCCACCTGAACTACGTAGAAATGTGTATTCCACTTCTGAAAAAGAGGCCTTTCTATGTTTTTTCGGGATTTTAATAGTTGTTAATTGTTTTTTTCTTAGATACTGATGCTGAAAATGATCTCGACCCACACCTCCTCACACCAGTGCAAGACAGCGGCCTTCAGCTTGTCACCCAGTGCAGAAATCCAAGCGGTTTGCAATTTCTATCTCACCGCCATACGTCTGGCATCTCTGAACCAGATTCTGGACCCTTGGGTTTACTTACTGTTGAGGGAAATACTTTTCAGAAAATTCTGCCAAGTTGCCAACGCTGTCTCAAGCTGCTCCATAGATGGACCGAAGGAGACCCAGGCAGCTCTCGATGCCTTGAACAAGCAAGCTGTGGATACCAGCCTGAGGCAGACATGATGAGGTGACGTGATGGGACTGCGTTTGCCAGCAGTGTTTTAACAAAGCTTGACAAAACAAACGTGTTCTGTTTAGACTTTTAAAAAATAGGATAAGTCCTTTTTCTAATGTGCACCGAAAAGAAGTTCCATGTAATGATTGAATTAAACGCAGTAATGAATCCAGATCTTCACGCCTACCTGGGGGAAGAGCAGACTCCCCATGCCTACCTAGAGGATGAGTTGACTCAGCTCTTTCTCAGGGGATTCATAATATTTACTCAAGCGTATTTTCTGCTTGGTGGCTCAATCAAGCCTTACAAACATTATCATCTGATGCTGCAGATTGGTGCTTGAAGATATTGTGCCAAAGAAAGTCCTCGCCTTTATTTATTGTTGTTGAGTGTTGGTTTGATCCTCTGACCATCTTTGAAAGAATAAGACATCTCTGGCAAACCACCTCATGAAGTAACTAAGCCTTCAGTGTGCGGTTCAAGTATGCAGGAATATTGTGTCAAATGTTCTTGTTTTGTCTGAAAATGACACAAAAAGGTGGAAAACAGTAAACCATTAACATTACATCTGTTATTTAACCTTTCCTTTAATAGTATTTGTTTAGTACTGTACATTCCCAGTTTGGAATTGCCAAAAGTTTTATCCACTTAGCTTAAAATCGAAAGTTGTGTTCCTGTGTCCTTGCTCCTTCATCATGCCCACCTCTCCGTGCCATTCGCCATGGTTATGGCACTTTACCCGTCTCTCTTGTGTGCCTGGAAAGAGCGCCTCTTAACTCCCTGACATGACTGAGAGTTTTCAAGTGCCTGCCAAGTCATGGAAGTCGCTGTGGCACCAAAAGACGAAGACGCCCTCTCTAATGTTGTGCAGCTCTGGACCTGATGCTCTCTAGGGAGTTTCCTGCTCATTGCTGGCTAATGAAATGGCGCATGGCTGCATCAGTGATGTCTAGACCATAGGGCTCAGTCTGCACTTTAAGTAAACACCTTTAATGGTTGAGCCAGTCAGGAGCCTGCTTATCTAATTCAAGATTCAAGGTTTCTTTACTTACCATATACAACAAGTGTATTGGAATGCTTACTCGTTCGGCTGTACCCAGTAACGTTAGAGAAAAGAAACAAATAGGCACAAATGACAAACAGACATGGTCAATACATTTAGACAATAGACGTTAGAATACAGGCAACAGGACATAGTGCAAATAGTGCACTTGAGATGTACCGGGAAAAAAAACAGTAATAATTGTCTATCCAAATGCTTAATTGTTCTCCTAACTTTGATTCAGGATGCTTTGCTTGAATTTCTGTGCTGGGGGTATTATAAATTGAAGGTCTCCTGGTGTGTGATGGGCAATCCTTACATTGTTAATATTCTCAGTCTTGAAAAACAACAGACCAAATGTTTGGCTGCAGTTCAAAAGATACAGAGCAAATGGATGTTTAAGAGCACAGTCAACAGTGGGCTCACAGGAAGTAAATTTGAAACTTTTCACTTCTGCTTTTGTCAGGCAAATGAACATTATCAGATGTTACAGCCATTTGACATCAACTACATTAGAGGGCAGCACAGAATTTTAGTATTTAATATAATTACATTTCGAATAGAATATAAACATGCATAAAGTCTTCACTCGGGTTAGGTGTGTTCAAGCAGAGTCCCTTTATACACGCGCATGGGGAGGATATAATCATGCAGATCTGAGAGGAGCCTCTCATACAGACCTGTGAGTAACCTCTCCACCAAGATGATAAATGCAATGAGTTTTATACAGCAAATTCACACAAGAGAGCTCATTCTAAGTTTCCATATTGAGTTGTTTTTCTCTCTACAAACATTTCTTTGTAATTGACCACATTCTTCTTAAGAAGCAGTTCTACCTTGCATACAGACAAATGGAAGTATATAAATAAAAGGTGTGAAATGAGCTAGACACCCTGCAGTTGTACCATTAATATCAAAATGTCAAATAATATGCTTGCAATTGTTCTTTCATACTGTTGCTGGGTAAAAAGCATTTTTTAAAGCCAACTAGTCACTATCTTATACACTTAAAAAAAGGTAAATGCTAACATTCTTCCTCATTCCCCCCTTTTGTCCTTTTAAGGACAACTACACTTCTTTTACACTTCTATAACACACATTTCCAAAAATGCTTTATCTTCATCTTCACTTTCATAAGGTTGCAGCAGAGTTGGAGATATTCGGACAGGCTTAAGATTAGTTACTTTGATAAGATATACAGTAGTGAGCATAGTTTTTTAAACACAGAACTAACAATGATGGTAACCAAAATCACAAACCCATAGAAAATATACTGCACTAGGGTAGCACCCTTGGGTCCAAATAAATTCTTCATCCAACTACAAATTCCCAAATCATCAGGATTATAGTTAAGATATTTCTTCTCAGCCAGGTTGTTGATATGTTCACAATCATCTGGAATATAGGTGCAACACTCAGAGCCTATCACAGCACACATACCGCCCTGGGCAGCCAAAAGGTAGTCCAGTGCCATATGATTCTGCATTGCAACAGTCCTCAGTGCCACCAATTCCACATTTATTGATTGAAGACCTTTGGTCGTCTCACTTGCCAATCTCTCCAATAAATCAGCCTTATTTATACTGTAGCTTCAAGGACCAGCTTTGCCCCTCCATATGGCGAAAAGGCAATAGCAAAGAACCTTTCAGTTTCCATGATCTTCTTTTTCTGGCAAACAGGCTTAGACTGGAAGGGGCTTTTTCTGTAACCTGATATGGGGCACCACATCCTAAATAACATGATCTCGACCATCCCTCAGGCAGCCAGTGCTCCCCGCAAATCCAAAAAGTACCGTGTAGGGATGGCTGAGGTGTGGATTCTTTAAAGCTAGTTAGCATAAAGGTCTTATTGTCACCAGGACCATATCGAAATGTGACTTCTCTACTTGTTATTGAGGCATCCTCTTTCTCACTCATTACATTCTTCGTGAAATTAAATCGACAGCTGGAATTTCCTAAAACTCGTGTGCCTTTAGTTCTTACAGCACAGGTAGACTGGAGCCCAGCATAATCTTAGGGGGTTTAAAAGATAGGTCAACAGCTGGGTAATAACTCTTAGAAAAATCTACACATTGTCCCCCTGCCTCAGCTGTGCCATTTTGCAGAACAATTCTAACTGAAGTTGTAAAATTTCTCTTTGTTCCATTCCTGCCAAACATCTTATGAACAAACAAACCACAATAACCATTTGCATCTAGGGGAATCACTCCCAAGGGTAACCCCCCTACAGCAGTTTTTTTTTGGACACCGCTGTGCAAACCCAGCACGAACTCTGATTCTCTCTGCTCGCATACAAATGTGACAGAGCTAAAAATGTATTTATGCCGTTCACTCCCTTATCATGGGTGTGCAGTTTCTTTTCAGTCTGTACTTAATTCACGTTCCGCCCATCGTCTTCTTCTGGGCCTCTACTCCTGGCCTGCGATGTTCCCGGTGGCACAGGACTGGTGTCATCTGCTTCAGGGCCTCCTGATCTGGCCAGTGCTGGTTCCCAAGTCAGGGAACAGTTTAATGTGCTATTATTTGCATTCCTGGTACGGGCCTTCCCACCTAGGTTGCAGTGTGTTCTTTCGTCGGTGATCCTTGATGTAGAGAAAATCACCCGGCTGGAAGGAGTGACAGTCTTCGGTTGTTGGTTCAGCCTGCGCTGCTTGCACCTGCGAATTAAAAGCCTTGACAGCTCGATTTAGACCAATGCAAAAGGACAATATTGCATCATCCATTTGATGAATATCCATTTCCTTCAATGTTCAGGGAGGAGATACTGGCAGCCTCATAGGCCTGCCCATGGGGACCTCATGTGGCGAGAGTCCAGTTCTTCTGTTCGTGGATGACCACATGTCCATCAATGCAATGGGCAGTGCATCAGGCCATTTAAAGCCAGTTTGTTTGCAAATTTTAGCGAATTTGTTTTTCAGGATTCTATTTTGTCTCTCCATTGCTCCTGCAGACTGAGGGTGATATGGGCAGTGTAGGTGCTGTGTTATTTGTAAGGCCTTACACATTTCTTTCATGATTTATCCAGTGAGATGAGTTCCTCGGTCTCTAGAAGTCATCCCTGGGTTCCCAAATCTACACACCACATCTCTCATTAAAAGTTTTACAACACTAGTGGCATCAGCTTTTCTGCAAGGGTAGGCCTCAGCCCATTTAAAAAAAACATATCCACAATCACTAACACATTTTCGTACCCACAACACTTCGGCATCTGTACAAAATCAATATGTATACAGTATGTACAAAAGGTCACCATGGTGGAGGATGTGCAGAGGTAGCAACTTTTGGACCCTTTCCAGGGTTATGCTGCTGACAAATTACAAATTGTTTTCTCAGCTGTTCTGCTACACTGGTGAATCCAGGGGCAAACCATTGAGTTTGCACCGTCTGACACATCCCCCCTTTGCCCATATGGCCCACACCGTGCGCCAGGCGGGCAAACCATGGGAGTAGAGAACGTGGTGCCACCACGCGACAGTTGTGGGAGACCCACAGTCCCTTAGCAGTATTATAACAGCAACCAGAGCCCACCCAAGACTCCCGTTCCCTCTCATAAGTAGCTGCCTGCAGAGCAGCCATGCCACTTAAGGAAGGAGTCTGAGGGCGCTCCAACAAAACACTTTCTGATCTTCCTGTGCGTGCCTCGCACTTCACGACTGCAGTAGAAGCTGGTGAGAGTATAGCAGTCAGCAGATTTGAAATTAGACTTGTATGCTAGATAAGGGGGTCATTTGAAGTAAGAAACCCTTGTTCTTTCCACAGAGTGCCAAAATCGTGCACTACGTCATAAGCATATAATGTGTCTATAAAGATATTAAAAGATTTTTCTTTTTCTAAGCAACATGCATGGGTAGGAACAAACAATTCAGCTTGTTGAGCAGAGCACGAGGGTGGCACTTTAGCAGCTTTAACAACAGATCAAAGAGTCATCAGAATTTAATCACAAAAACAAAACACAAGCTAATTTAACATGATAAATACGATACTGCCTTGAAGAGCGAATCGGTAAGGACAGTAATTATTTAGTGTGAGCTATCAATGGTCTCAATACTTTTCCATACATAGGATATATGTTGCTGCAGAAAAAAACATCTGCTCACAGCAGTCAGACACAGAGAGCATCTGAGAGCATCCTAGCAAAGAGAAGACTAGCACTTTAAAATCTCATCTAGAGCTATGGGGCTTGATGATCATGTCCTCAAAGAGCTCTAACTGTTCAACTGAACCAAATACTGATCAAGTCAGTCATTAAGGAAATTATTTTCATTCACACCGCCTCATCAAAGCCACCTTCATCATTTGGGTCATGTATCGGCCAATCTGCCCCCTCCTCTTTAGAGGACGTTGGAAAACTTTAGGACCAATATGATCTAGCAACAAGGTTATGTCACTGTAATTAGGCTTATGACAATCAATAACAAGGCTTAACTTTCTTTTAAATTCTTTACGATCATCAGGCAATTTTGGAAAAGACTTGAGTAATGCAAATAATTCACTAGGAGACCAAGGTCGATGTACATATGCTGGAGTTCATTCTGGACCTGGAAAAGCACACATTGGCATTTCACGAACAAAGCTACTTGCCCCTGAAAACCCAGAACCCAGTGGGTGTTCTCCCACTGCACTAGGTACCGGTCCTCTGTCTGATTGTGCAGGTGGAAGTTGCTGCAATTGTTGAATTTGACAGTGCCTCGTTTGTGAACGCATGTTTGCAGATGGAGGATCAATTACAACTCCCCATTTGCCAACAGAATAGGTTGGTGGAAGTGCACTGGGAGAAGCCTGTGGAGGTGGACGATATGGTTTATAATAGTGAGGGTTCCAGTCATCATGATCGTGCTCAAAGGAAAAAGACTCTGGCTCCGGACCGCTTTCTAATTTCGGTGGAGACTTTCTTTCTAGTACGCATGGCCATGACTTTAGCTGCTGCTTGCTGTTCTTTATTTTCAAGACTAGCCTTTTTTTTAAAGCTTTCCATCATTTCTGTGATTCCTCTTTCCATGACATATAAGTTTTCCAATTCACTTTCTTTTCTTTCTTCTCCTTCTCTTCTAACTTTCCCCTTAAACTTTCTATTTTATCCCTGTCATATATCCCATCTTCAGGAAACCCCTTTTTCCTAATTCCACTTTCCCCTGTCCATTCTGACCACTTACAAAGATCCTTCATAGTTATGGACCCCTAATTATCATGTATAAATCATGTGCAAGTTCCCTTTTGAGGTACTGGCACATTTTGAGAGCTCTGATTATTTCCCATATTTACTAAGAAACTGCCTATATTATTTAAACAGCAGAGGTTTAGTGATCCAAATACATTTGTCTCCTACACAAATGTTAATAAGTTCCTTATAAGTAATACACGTAGTTCAAAATATAATTCTGCAGTTATCTTCTCTATTTGTTTTGTATACTTACACTTATATTCTACTATATGCAAAAATCTATTTTCTCCATTCATTGGAAGTTTCATTTCACACCTCTCTGCAACCATTCTGAATTCACACCTCTTGATTGGCCTCTCTTTCTGT